AAAACCCCCCCTTTTGGCTAGCCTAATCAAAACAGCACCACATCCTAGCCTATTCTAACACAGATCTCCTTTTTCCTTTAAAAAAAAAAAAATCACACCTGCAAGGACATTTGCTTGCTGTTTTCCACTTAAGCTAGAAATCAGCCACTTTACTTTCTTTCCCAATTAATAAAGAATCTGTGAAAATAGGTGTTTGGGTGTGATCTGTGCCAAATCCAGGGTCCAGTAAGGAGGCCTCTGCTCTGTGTAGGTCCTGTGAAGGATGCAATGCTTCACACAGCTGGAGGGAGGGGAGGATGCAATGTTTCACACAGCTGAAGGGAAGAAAGGATGTAATGTTCGACACAGCTGGAGTGAGGGAAGGATGCAATGCTCTACACAGCTGGAGGGCAGGGAGGATGCCATGCTTCCCACAGCCAGGAGGGAGGGTACAATGCTTCACAAGGGCTGGAGTAAGGGAAGGGTTCAGTGCTTCATGCAGCCGGAGAGAGAGGGAAGGACTCAATGTTTCATATAGCTGGAAGGGGGGAAGTCAGAAGAGGGGTGGCCGTGAGAAACTACATAACTCTCTCAACTGGGTTGTATTGCAAATGTGAAAGTGACCATTAGCCGGTCAGTGGGGCTGGCAGCATTTCAGAGAGAAGGTGGAAAGAGTCCAGCCAGTTTGCAATGCTGCTAAGCTGACACTGCAAGCTTTAGCCCTGGGGAACACAATTATCTTCTGTCAAAGGAAATGTCTAGAAACCCTGGGAACAAGACCAAGGTTTAAATTAAACCAAATGCCATTGGTAATAGCTATGAACCATAATAAAACTGACACACAAGGTTTTCGTTAAAACCTTGTATTAGGTCACAGGAGTACATGTAATTATTAACTGTCTTTGAAAATCTAAAGAGCCAAGTAGTCCCAAGGCAGCTTTTAAGAATAAAAACAAAAGTAGCAAAGAGCAGTCTCTCAGTTAAACACTTATTACAAAACTACAGTAGTTAATTTCAAATAGGCCTTGAGGAAGGAATAAAGTTTAAAAACATTACTGGTATATAGGAACTCAATAATAACCGAGACAGTCCTGCAGTACACAGGAAAGAGGTCATCTCAGCAGGCAGTGCTGGGCCAATCATCTCTATGTGGAAAAGCACAAGTAAAACATGATCCCTACCTCATATAAAAATCAATTCTCAGTTAAATAATGAAGTGTGAAAGGCAAACTTTACATAGATTCCCAAAGGCATATACAAGAAACATGACTTTATGGTAGGAATAGTCAACTTAAATAGGATATAAGATCATTAATCATTAATAAATGGAACAAAATCCAAATATGAAGGTAAGTTGTAAAGATGTAGAAACAAATGGTAACACTGTGTTGAACACAAATTATTAGGGGCTGTTGAGATGGGTAACCAGGTAACAAGCCAGAGAACTTGAGTTCAATGTCCCGGACTCTCATGGTAGGGGAGAACCAACTCCGGAAAGTTGTCCTCTGACCTCTGTGCATGTAGGCATAGGCAAGGATTTTCTGAAAGGACTCTAGCATTGTAGAGAATATCCCAAAAACTGATAAATGTGATTATATGAAAATTTATATACATTTTCATATACATCAAAGGAAACAGCCACCAGAATGAAGAGAAAGCTGATACAATGTGAGAACAAAATCTTGTCAAACACACCAGACAGGAGACTGATATCTGTAAGACAGTGTAAAAAGACCAAAAAAAAAAAAAAAAAATCCCAAATTATCCACTCAGTAAGTGGGCTAATAAATCAATAGGCAGTCCTTAACGCAAAGAAACAGAAAGGCCCAATATATTCTTTAAAAAGTGTTTGACACCTTTAGCCATCAGGGAAATGTAAACTAAAAGTGCTTTTTGATTCCATCTCACACCAGTCAGAATGGCCGCCACCAAGAAATGAGTATGTGGGGAAAGAGGAGTCCTCATGCGCTGCTGGTGGGAGCCGAGACTGGTGCAGCACCGTAGCAATCAGTGCAAGTTTCTCAAAAACTAAAACAAGGGCTAGAGAGATGGCTCCGAGGTTAAGAGCACTGGCTGTTCTTCCAGAGGTCCTGAGTTCAATCCCAGCAGCCACATGGTAGCTCACAAGCATCTATAGTGAGATCTAGTACCCTCTTCTCACATGCAGTACAGAATACTGTATAAATAATAAATAAATATAAAAAAAACCCACAAAAAAACGAAACCTAAAACAGAACTACTACATGGCCAAGCTGTATTCCAGCGTCCTGAACATTCATGTTCATTGCTCCACTAACCACAGTAGCCAGAAAATGAAATCAGCCTAGATGTCCATCAGCATACAAATGGCTAACAAAAATGTATACATACACAGTGGAATTTTATTCCACTGTAAAGAAAAATGAGATTATGACATTTATTAAAAAAAAAAACTGATGTAACTGGAAATCACTGTTGAGTTAGAGGCTAGAAAGACAGGTGCATTTTGTCTTGTAAGTGGAAGCTATATTTAAAGCTATATATATGTGTGTGTGCATGCATGTAGATCATGAAACTAGAAAGGATATCAGAGAAGGGAGGAAGAGATCTTAAGGGAAGAGAAAAATAGGGTAACAGAATACATGTGTTAAGAAGGCTTTAAGGGGCTAAATAGGTTAGAAGGAAACCACTGGAGAGCAATGGGAAATAAGAAGTGAGACAAAATGTAACTACATGTATGAAAATGCCATGATGAAGCTCCTTACCCTGCAATCTAAAAAAAAAAAAAAATCAATAAATTATAAAAGTGAGCAGAGCGCAAAGCTCAGGGACAGAGCAGCTGCCTGGCATACAATGCCAAGGGTCCAGCACTGAACAAAGACAAAAATGACATTTTCACTCCTTTAGAGTCAAATGAGGTCCATGGTCTTATATAAATGATCATTAAATGCAATTAAAAGATCTACCTATCCAATTGGTAAACTCTATGTGGGAAAACTTGAGAAACAACATCAAAAGCTCTTTGACTACTGCCACTTCAGAAAAGTAAAAATAAAAATGGAAAATCATAAGATTATCAACAATATCAACATATTTTTTATATCAAGTGGGAACCAAGATTCCCCTCCCCCAGTGGACAAAATGTATGACTGAGCAATCCAACAGAAACAGAAATGTCCCTAGCCACATTTAACATGTCCACTCATGAGCAATGCAAAATGGCTGCCCTCAGGAGCTATCTAGCACTGCTGGCTGGGTTAAGAACTGAGAGCATTAGCAAGGACTGGGAGGTGAGGACCACAGACTGCCTCACACCGATGCCACAGCCTCTGTAACGGGGCTTTGGCAATCCTGAGCAACACAGCACCTACTCTCTATTAAGGGATCACACTTCTAAGGAGATAACTCCCAAAATGTAAACAACACACTTAACACGACACTACCATCTGAAATTATAAAAATCAGAACTATCAAAATGCACAAACCCAGGATAAGAAAATAAACTACTGGGTGTTTAAATTCAAGTATATATTCAAGGCGAGGATGACTACATAAAATATGAAGCAATTTTCAGGGCACAATACTCAGACACAACAGGCCTGAGTTATAGCAAAAATCTTTTGTGTGAAAAGGGGAAACGATAAAATTCCAATTATTTTGGCAAAAAGAATATAGAAAAGGCACATTATAATGGAGCTGGTTAAGGACAGCAGGTGGACAGAAAGGGGTGGGGGAAAAGTGAGTACATATTGAATGGTTCAGAATTCCAGAAATGTTAATATGAGGGAATTATTGGGGGCAGCTGCGTTTGAGCAGCCTGAAGACTGCAGGCCCACTGTGCCACAGCTATACAGAACATTCTCGGCATATGGAGGTGAAGAGGAAAGGAGTGCAGGGCTGCAACCTGCTCCGCAAAGATCAAAGATAGTCGCACATGTGCTTAACGTTTAAAATTAAATTTAAAGGCGGGATTAAGTCCACTATTCTCACCATCTTTCTGAAAGATAAATATCTCAAAATCTTTAGGAGTGAAGTGTAACTTGGTGGTAGAGTCCATGTTTAGCATGTAGGGCGCTGAGCTCCACCCCCAACAACCAAAGTAATAACGTAAAACTCTCACGTGCAAAGCTTAGGGATCAACACTGAGATCTGAGGCCACTGGAGTACTCAGGGGTGAGGGAGAGACTAATCTCATTAACTTCAGGTAAGATTTAATGTAAAATACACTTCATTTCCTAGGTCATATTCAAGAGAAATGCAGATGTGAGCCTCACCCTATTAGCAGTGTTCATATTTATTTATACATTCCCTGGCTCTAGAAAAATGTGCTCAAAATCAGGTATATGCTACCATCACTTCAAACACATCACCAAGTAGAGGGCATTTAAAGACTAGTGTGGGAAATACTTTCTTTTAAATGGGCTGTAACAACCTTGAAACTAAACAGTCTTGTGATAAGGCAACTTAAGCAGCCACCAGAACCAAGTGTGGCCTGAGATACCCCATGTAATACTCAATGCCCAGGGACCTTTGAAAACTGCTTTCACTTCTGACTGCCTGTTTGACACAAATTGAACAATGGCATTAAAATCACCTGTTAGGGAACAGGGTGGCTAGTCCTTAAAAGAGGCAATGATAGTTTAATATAGACGTTAACGAGGCAAATTTGGAAAAAACAAACAGGATGTCAAGGAGAGCATGCAGCTTGGCAGGAAGCCTCTAGAACACTTGGCTGGAGGGATGGGTGTGTTCTAATCCAGCACAGCTTATTAGTTGTCATGAAAAAGATGAGAAAACCTAGTACTTAACTGCTGACAGCTTGTAGCTGAAAAGAGGGATGCAATGAAACACATACGGTTGCTGATTTCAATGTCTGGACTTTGGAGAACTTAATGAGATCTAAAAGGAGACCCAGTGATCCACAAGGACCCTGTAATAGCAAAGAACAAACTAAAACTGTAGTCTGATCAGGTCTGAGATTACTGAAAGGAAGACAGAAAGGGTTTATTCAACAAAACCAAATCTTTATTATAGAATTCCTTTGTAATATCTTAATGTCAGCTCTTAAAAGTCTCAAAATACTACTTGGAAGTAAATGTCTAACAGATACAAAAAAAGACATCAGCTCAGTTTGAGGGAAATATTGCTTATAAACACATTAAAAATTTTTTCATGCCAGGAAACCACTTTTAACTTAATTTTCTAGTGAAGATTTGTTTCTTTCTTTATGAAGGCATCAACTGTAGATTGTTCTCAAGCCTTTACTTCTAAGGCTTATCAAATGGGCCATTCTATGAATGGGTGCCAAACAGGTGAAATATGCATCCTGCACACCAGATCAAGGATACTCAGAGCTTTGCTGAATAGATTCTCAATCACTGCAAAACACTGCAGCCAGAGTGCTCCGAATTGCAGCCACTCTGCTTCCCAGCGGCCAGCACCTCCCACTGGCTCCTGGCAGCAGCATCTCTAGAGTGTTCACGTCATAGTTTAAGGCATGGCTTTTTTATAACTACGGTCACCGGCAATTTTAAAAGTTTATAAAAATAAGTTTTATATGTTCCTGAATTAAACTGCCTGTTTAGAGGCTTGACTTGCAAGCAGCTAGAGAGGTACAGTGCACGCCCCATATAAACTCATATGAAACACTGCTCGGACGAGGTGGATTCTTTGGTAGGCATAAAGGTCAAAGGTCCTCATTCATCGTGGATCTATCATATCCTCCAAGAGCAAATGGGGGTGCTCATAATTATCTGGAAGTCTGTTGGGAGGCAGGCTGATCTGAGGCATTCACAAGAAGGCCCCATGAAAGAACAAAGAGAGCCCAGTTCTATGTTGTCACCCAGGGGCAGACTTGGCAAGGTCTGGGCTGGGGCTGGAGCCAGAGTCTTGAAGGATTTGGTTTTGGTCCTGCGAATGTACCTTTTCCCTCTGAAGAGACTGTAGTTATCAGGTCCAAAGCTGCTGCATGCTCCGTCTATGATGCACTTGAGATAGCCTGTGTTTCCCTTGGGCAACACGGCTTGACCTGCTTCTTGCTGACTTCATCCCACTGTATGATAGTTTTCCACTGACCTTGTCCCATTTCCCCCTAACAAACTGTATATAAGATGTTGTACTTCTTAATAAACTTGCTCGACATAAAGACACATCCTTGCAAGACTTCCTAACCCCAACTCTATCTTCTTTATTTTCTGAACTCCTGGCACTCCCTCTCAGAAAGCTGTCACTGAAGAACAACTTGTTGGTCCAGGTCAGAAGACTCCATCTAGCTGACACCCACAGGCCTGAAAACTGTTAACAAAGAGCCAATGCTAGATTTTGCTCCTTTAAATAAGCTCAGGGCTTTGTGGTATAGCTCATTACACAATGACTTTCAATAAAGAGCATTTCCCTTCCTTACTTACCATAATGCTAGTAGAATGAAAGATTTCCATACTCCCACCTGCCAGGGACTCACTTCCCCTTGCAGCTTTCAGCATCATTCTATACCCCAGCCAAAGTTTTTAATGGAGGAAAAGCCTCATTAAGCTTCCCAGAAGCCTGTCAGGGAGTGTGGTGACAAGTCCTCACTGTCACTCAACTAGGAGCACTTCCCTGGCACACAGAGCACCAGCTAATGCTGCCCACAACCTCCCCACTAGCCTCCACCCTACAGAGGCCCACATGTCATCTCCTTTCCAAGCAAATCCTGGGAATGCTTCCCCATGAATGTGATGCAGCTGTTGGGAGAACTGCCTGAGGGTAGCTCACAGGACCAGACCTTCTGCTCTCGTGCTCCTTGAACAGTCCTGGCTCTGTCAGTTAGAGAGCACGCTCTGAGCAGTTCGCCAGTGCTGGACACTGTGGTAGAGGCACTGCTGTCAGGTGCTGGGCCCCCATGCTTGGCCAGTTGCAGACAACATTAATTTGATGGTCATGAACATTGCTTAGCTAAAGCAACTGGTGTCTGCCTATGAAAGCACCACACTGGTGTCTTAGTAGGATCCAGATTTTCTCAAGGAGTGTTTGAACACACTTGCCTTTTAAAATTAAAAGGACCAGCAGAGGTTTTTAGGGTGGGGAAGAGGGAATGAGATTATTTAACTCAACTCTGAAAGGGTAACATTTTTATTTCCTTCCTAAAACAATTAAGAAAATATAAACCTGCTGTCTCCATCAGTTTCAGGATCATCCAGAGATGTTTGCAGCAACCAAACCCATGATAAAGTGCTGCTGGTAAGAAAGCCCGGCATCAACACTGGGCAGAAGCTCTTTGTCAGTGTGTCAGCCTGAACTAACCACGCGGTCAGCTGGGGCTTTGCCTAAAAAAAAAGTCCTTGTCAATATTTTTAGGAAGACAGAAAATTTCTATTTACCCTTTCTCCCCCTGATGAGTATAAATGAGAAAGAGTGTCATTAATGATATAGAGAGAACTTAGAACTCAAATCTTTGCTACAATGTGAATAAAAAAACAAAAGCAAAACAACAAAAAATAAACTTAACAAAACCCTTATACTAGTTATTGAAATATAAGGTCTTCTAGTCCCTCAGTCTTAGTGCATGATCCTCTGGCAAGCACTGAAATTCACAGTTGGTGACAAACAGGGAGCTCAGGCTGCTCTGCAGAAGGGCTTGCTTCTGGAGATCCAGGAAAAGACAGCAACATGAAGCACCCAGTCTGTCAACTTTGCTGCTGTAGCACGGGAGGCTGACAGTCTCTGATCATGAAGCAGAAATGAATAACGGAAGGGTTTTCTCTAATCTTCATTCAAGAATGGCATTTAGCAAAGCTCTTACAAGCCAGAAGCACACAGTTACACCAGGAAATCAACATACGGCAGAGCATCCCTAGATATAGACCGCAAGCAGGCTGAAGACTAAGGGAAGCAGCCATCTCCTTACCACTGGGCTAGGACATGCTCAGGAATCAACACTTCAAAATATAAACCCTACACACTATGGTCTTGGTCAGCAGATGTTTCAGGCTCCTTAGCGGCACCATTAACATCTTCAGCTGTAAAGTCAGCATGCGGGGCTCTGATTTCTTCCTGTATTGTGCAAATTTCAAAGTTCCGTTAAAAACATTATCTTTGGTTTCTTCTTAGAGAACTGCTCATGAAAGGGTCGTCGTCATCATCCTGAAATGACACAAATGCTATGCCAGTGACCACTCATCCTCTGTTGAGCCAGGACAAATTATTACTACTAAAATGGCATCAGGGAAATCACATTTATTTTATCTATTTCCTCTGTATCTGTGAAATGTTAAAGCCCAAGTCAACTCTTTGTGTATTAGAATAAAAATCTCCCAGACTTCATGTGTGAATGCATATACCTGTAACACCCAATGTATACATTTCTCCCAGTAACAAACCTTAAAAAAGGCACAGGAGGTATGGGAAAGCCAGGACAGAAAATATTCAAGTCATTTCTATTCTGTTCCTGAAGTTTTCTCACCCCTCTCCCCCTCCCCCTTTTTTTACCATTATGTGTATGTGTGTGCACTCACATGCAGTTGTGTGACCTGTCAGGACAACTTCAATGAGTCCAATCTTTGTGGGTCAGGGCTCAGACTCGGGCTACCAGGCTTGTGCTCCAGTCACTTCACCCATGAGTGTCTTGCTGGCCTCACTTACACTTAGCACTCACTGTGTCTGCCCTCTCACATGGAAAAGCCTCAAGTCTGAAAAACTGACTCCTTTTTCCTGGCACCCATTTCATAGTAGAACAGATTGCTTTCAGGCTGCTGGAGGAAAAAGCTGAGTAAAGCTGCCTTTCTGCTTTTGCAAAAAAAGTAGATGGACTATTTCAGGTGTTCCTAAGCCAATGGGATGTAGGCTACAAACATCGTAAGAATGGATAAATATCAGGCATTAACTAGGAATTTCCTGAGAATGAAAATAACTAGCTAGGTCTGGTGTCACCGCTGTGTCAGCCCAACTGCTAGGGAGGCTGAGGCAGGAGGCTCACAAGTTCAAGGCCTGTTCGGGCTACAGAATGAGTCAACCTTTGTAGCTGCTGTGTGAGGCCTGTCTCAAAGGGAGAGAGGAAAAAGGCTGAAGCCATGACAGCTTGCCTAGCATGTGCCAGGCTCAGGATTCAAACCAAAGCCATTGAGCAAAAACAACGAACAAGCCTTACAGAAAGCCTAGTTATATAATCTGATGAGAGATAGCATTAAATGGATCACACTTTAGAGCTCCATATTTGAAAGATAAATTATGCTTATAACTTTGTTACCATTAAAATGTTGGTAAAAACAAATGACTGTTTAGCATTAGACATTAACAAACCCATGTTTTATGAATTCTCTAGTGAGAAATGGATGCCTTGAGAAGCACAAATTCAACTGTTTGCTAATTCGTTTTCTATACTGTCAAAGGCAGGCTTTGCTAAAAACATATAAATGAAAACTGGTAATGTGTATTCAGATCTTCTCTGTAGTTAAATGCAAAACAGTATATCTACGTTTCCTTTTCTTCTGTGTGAATGCATTTTTGTGTTCCAGTGCATTTGTCCCCATACCCCAGTCCTGGTACTGCAGGTATGTGTGGCCATGACCAGCCTTAAGTGAGTATCAGGTCTCAGGTCCTCAGGCTAATGCAGCAGGCACTTTACTCAACAAGTCATCCTCTCACCTTAAATTCTACATCCATAGACATCCAGATGTGTGCCTGTTTCCCTATTGGCAACAACCTGTCACCACTCAACAGGCTGACTGAGCTCACAACCTGAGGTGCAGCAAGCTTGGCAAGCAACTGCAAGCCTGCAGCTAAGACACAAGGAACATGACAGCAACATCAGATGTTCAAAACAGAGAGGCACATACAACATAGATGAACACTAAGGGCACTTTGCAAATGAGATAACAATCACATAAAAATCACTGGGAAATGCCCTTACACAGGGGCATACAGCAGACAAAGTCAGAGAAGAGAGCACAGTGGTGATCGCCAGAGGCTGGGGACAAAGGTAAGGACACTGGGATGTATTTAAGGAGATATGGTTTTGCAAGACAGAAGTCCTTTAGGTCTTTTTTGTCCTCTCCCATATATTGCATTCCGACTACAGTTTCCCCTCCCTTAACTCCTCCCAGTTTCTCCCCCATCCTCCCCTTTCTCTTGGATTCACTCCCCAACCCTTCACCTTCCTTCAGAAAAGAGCAGGCCTTCCAGGGACATCAACCACATATGTATGACATAACAAGTTACAGTAAGTCCAGGCACATATTCTCACATCAAGACAACCTGGCAGGAGGAAGAGGTTCCCAAAGGCAGGCAAAAGAGTTAGAGGCAGCCACTGCTCTCACTGTTAGGAATCCCACAAGAACACCAAGCTACACAGCTAAAACATAAATGCAGACAGCCTAAGTCACTCATACAGGCTCCCTGACCTGTGAACCAGCTTGAGTCCTGGTTAGCTGATTCTGTGGGCCTTGTTCTTGTGGTGTCCTTGACCTTTCTGTTTCCTCCTATCCTTCGTCCCCCTCCTCTAGAGAACTTCTTGAGCTCTGCCTTATATTTGGCTGTGGGACTCTGCACCTGTTCCCATCAGTTGATGGATGAAGTCTCTCTGATGACAATTATACTAGACTCCAGTCCCAGCACATCATGCAGGCCTGACAAACTGTAGGTGGGACGTTTTGTCCCTCCACTTGCGGCCTTGCCTGGCCACAGCAGACGGCTGGTGCAGCCTCCATGTCCCCCATTACTAAGAGTCTCTGCAGTGTCACCCTCACAGATTCCATGGAGTTTCTATTGCACTAGGTTTCTACCTCAGTCCTGAAATGCCCCAATTCTAGTCATCTCCCCCAGTATTCTCTCCATCCCCCACCCCACCTGATCCCTCCTGTTCCCATCCCTACCTGCCCTCAGCCCACCTGCAAAATCTATTCTATTTCCCCTTCCCAGGAAGATTCCTTGCATCTCCCCTTAGCACTCCCTGTTACTTACCCTCTCTAGGTCTATGGATTCTAGCATGACTATCTTTTACTTTACAGCTAGTATTTACTAATATATAAGTGAGTACCATGTTTGTATTTTGGGGTCTGTTTTACAACACAAATATATTTAATACTACCAAGGTACATTTAAAATGGTTTAAATGCCAGGTGGTAGTGGCACATGCCTTTAATCCCAGCACTCAGAAAGCAGAGGCAGATGTATCTCTGAGTTTGAGGCCAGCCTGAACTAGAATGAGTTCTAGGAGAGCCAGGCTACACAGAGAAACCCTTGCCTTGAAAAAAAAAAAAAAAAAAAACCCCAAATTTGTTTAGATGTTATGTGTTCTTACTACAATTATAATTTTTTAAAGTAAAAAATAAATGAAGGTGATGACAGGCTTACCCATCTCCTACAAAGCTTGCAGAGGGTCAAGTGGCAGCCATGAGGAAGCAGGAAAGGCCAGGGCCCTGTGTCTCATTGCTCTGCCCCTCTTCATTAAACAACAGATGAACTCGAGAGAGAGGCGAGTAACTGTGCTCCCTCACTCCTTGTGAGTTAGAGACTGTGACAGTTTAGGTGCAGACAACACTCTGTCCTATGCTAAGGCAGTGTTTCGCCCAGGGTGCAGGGAATATTTCACCAAGGTAACCTTAAACACTCCTACACCAGCATCACCCCACTCTCTAAACACGAACTGCAAAAACTAAAAGAAAAGGGAAAAACCACCCAGCTCTGATCCCATTAATGGGACAAATGAGAGCCAAGTGAACACTGTGCTTTAAAACCCACAGGCCTTTATAGGTAATCACACTGCTGGGCACTTACTGACTTACTGACTCTAGCATTGCAGGTCACAACAAAGTTATCAGGGAGCCTAAAAATAGAACTTGCAGTGCTTAGCCGGTGGTCTCCATTTGCATTTCAAACAGGTAACATAAGAAAAAGCCAATGACACAACGATTACCTCATCTGATTCAAAGTCCACCCCTTTGGCTGTCTGGCTCTGGGACATCCGTTTGCTAGATGCTGTGCCTGACCACCTAAAGACAGAAAAACCAAAGACAGTGACCACAACGTTGAACAAGTAAAGTCCATCACAACTAATGAGTAAAAACAATGCAGAGCTCCCTTAAATATATAGAGATAATGTATAATCTAAAGATAATATTTAAAGATAATATATACATATACATATTGTGTGTGTGTGTGTGTGTGTGTGTGTGTGTGTGTGTGTGTGCTTCCTATGGGCCCTATTTTTCTGAGGAGTCCTAGGAGCAGCACTGTTTCTCAATTATTGAACTTTTTATAGTACACATTTTCTAATAAGAAACTAAACAAAACCTTAATGATAAGAAAACCATTTCCTCTGTTCCTAAATTTCCTCATCTGTGGAGCAGGGAAATGCTTATTTTTAAAGAGCAATATGCTAATATGCTTAAACACTAGGCCATGGCCTGACATGGTCTCCCCACGCCACCCCCAAACTCCCACAACTGTAACAGTACAGTACTTTCTCTTCAAACTACAGCTGCAAAGAATCCTGGGACAAGCTCACCACTCCCCAGAGCATCTCCTGCGTCATCTCGCAATACCTGTTCTTTCCATGAGCGCTCACATTCAGGGGCCTCATTCAAACATTCCACACATAATTATGAGCTAATTTAATCATCCCTAATGCACTTGTACATGTTCAACTCTGCCAGGATAATTTAAGTCACCTAAGTTTGGAGCCTTAGCAAAATCTATTATGTATCATCAGACCTAATAGAATGTAAAAATCAGAAAGTTTAAAAAAAAAGGGGGGGGGCTATAAATGATTTTCTTTTTAAAATGGTTTTTTATTTCATGTGCTTGAGTGCTTTGTCTATACGTATGTATATGCACCAGGACTTACAATGCCCAGAGGCAAGATGGATCCCTTTAGAACTGAAGTTACAAATGGCTATGAGCCATCATGTAGGTTCTAGGAACCAACCCAGTTTAAGCACAGAAACACCAAATACACTCAACTGCTGAGCCATCAAAAGTAAAAATTTTCGGGGGCTGGAGAGATGGCTCAGAGGTTAAGAGCACTGTCTGTTCTTCCAGAGGTCCTGAGTTCAAATCCCAGCAACCACATGGTGGCTCACAACCATCTATAATGAGATCTGGTGCCCTCCTCTGATGTGAAGGCACACATGCAGATACTGTACACATAAATAAATAAAATTTAAAAAAAAGTAAAAATTTTCATTAATTAAGTTTTAAGTAAACAGTATTTGCCCAAAATGTCAATACAGAAAACAGTGATTTTAAATAAAGAGTTTAGTAAATATTCCAGAGTAAGTCAATTAAGTACTCCAGAACTGAGTAAGTCCATGTTAGCCATGTAAGTTCTCTAAAGTCTAAGTACTCCAGAATAGGTCCATGTCAGCACATAAATACTCCAGAGGAAGTCCAGTCAGACACATAAGTACTCCAGAGGAAGCCCAGTCAGACACATAAGTACTCTAGAGGATGTCCAGTCAGACACTTTAAGTACTCCAAAGTTCGCATCAGCTTCTTCACCTGTTTAGCACAGCACTGTGTACATAAAGATCAGAAAAATTTATATAGTAAAAAAACAAAGCTGAAATCCAGAATTAACAAAAGCATTCTCTATTACTGAGGAGACAATCTTTCATGAAGAAGGGAACTAGGTAATAGAGGCAAGAGGACATGAATCACAGGCTATTTTTCAGAGGAAATACGCACAGCAATGCTGAATCATACCTGTTTTTCATTTTTCTACATGAAAAGAATTCTATTTATCCTCTCTGGCATAGAAAGATGTATTGTCATAAAATTCTAAATAATTATACTTTTGTTTTTGAAGGAGGCCCCTGGCCTACCTTTGATCAGACTTGGAACTGGTAGGAAAAATGTCATCTTCATCAGATTCATCCACCTCAATGGTCTACAGAATGGAGGAAACAAAGCATCAGGTTCAACCCAAGTGGATGAATTAGATAAGAGAATATCAAGACATACATGCAATTATACAAAACCCAGCTGTGCATGTGGCCCAGTGGTAGAGTACTTATCTAACAGTGAGGCCCTGGGTTTGAAACCCAGCCTGACCTCCCACCAAGGTCCCTCTTCCTTCATAAATGTTACTCTCTGTTCCACGGACCACTCTTCTCCTGGCCATTACCAAGCCTGGGCCCCTCAAATACACAGAGTGCTGAGTGACTTGGACAAATGGAAGTGCAGCCCTACCCTGCAGCTTTCTTCCTAGCTTCTGATGAGACAACAGACCTTCAGTGTTTCAACTTCAAGTTTTTCTTTTCTTAGTAACCCAGGCTAGTTTCAAACTTGCAATCTTCTGGCTTTTGCCCACTGAGTGTGAAAATTATTGATAGTTACCAAGGCAACCTATCAGCTCCATTTTTTTTTTTAATTATCTCCAATTTTAAATAAGGTATCAGATCACACGCGAAGTAGCAGATAGGTAGATATTTAGTATTAAGAGTCAACAAAGGGGCTGGAGAGATGGCTCAGTGGTTAAGAGCACTAACTGCTCTTCTAGAGGACCCAGGTTCAATTCCCAGCACCCACATGGCAGCTCACAACTGTCTGTAAATCCAAGATCTGATACCCATAGACATACATGCAGGTGAAACACCAATGTGCATAAAATAAAAATAAATTTAAAAAAAGAGTCAACAAAGATACACATGATCCCATGTGTTCTGTGTTTTGTGTTATCTTGACCCTTGTGCTGTGTTTTTACCTATCTATAATGCAGATGAGGAAAGAAGCCAAGGACACAATTACAAAAAAAGCAGCATGTAAAGTCAAAGGCTCTGCTACACATCCTTATAGTACACAGATGTGCCTTCACCAAGCAGGACTGCCTGGCACAGGAAGAGAACTGGCCAGGGGCTTAAGATGCATGAATTCTGACAGTGAGACAGCAGAATAGACCTATCCCGAATTTACTTTCAGAATCCCAAAGGGAAAAGGCCCATGTTAAATCTGTAATAGGACACAGGATCCTAAGGCCTTCTACTCAGGCTTTAGTCCACATCAGAATGAAAAGAGCATCTCCAGTGAGGAACACACCTTCTCTATCTAGGTTAAAGTACTTTGAGGTAGTAGGCACTGCTGTCCTTTTAAATGCCACCACACACACAGAACCAATGAACTTCCGATGTGAACCACTGAGTTTTGTTGTTGGTTTTAAAAGATTCTAAATAGCCATCAAGTTCTCACCAGGGCTGCTGTTCACACTCTGTCCCTGTTAGGAAGTCCTAACACAGAAAACAGATCATTAAAATCAAACTATAGCAATTTTCTTACCTCTGAGTAATTCTTAGTGGCAACGTTTCTGGAAGGCTGCTGTCGGGTAGACCTGAAAGCTAGCATGAAAAAGATAAAATGTCCATTACATAGTTCTTAAAACAACTTAAAATATATATATACTCACTTCCTCAGCTGAAGGATTTTAAAGATTTTAAAGTCCTACCTGTGAAAACCTACAATGGCCAATTGGAAAACCATTCTGGAATCTGAAAAGATGTGAGACACTTGAACTATATATTCTGCCCATCAGTCTCACATTTTCCCAGTTTGATCAAATATAGTAACAAGCAGAGTTCATAAATACGCCCACACTAAATACTTTATAAAACACACCTGAAAGATGAAGTCCTGTCACTTAGTCAAGTGAATTACAGTAGCCACCCCCCCCACCCCTTTCCCAGATTAGACAGGCTTTCTGAGGCCTCACCAGTTCTCATTCCTCTTCCTTGTAGTCATACTGGGCACACACATGAGAACATACCAAAGGGAAATTCTAGAAATTATATATCCTTGACTCCCTGATAAAGCTTTCCTTAAATCCTCACATTTTGCTTCATAGAAACTTGAGGTTTGGCTAACCCTGTCTCTTTCTTGTTACTTGACATCAAAACTTGCAATAGATCCAAACAACTGGTTGATGCCTGTTTTCTCCTCAATGTGGTCATTTGTTAACATCAAACATAACTTCTCCAAAATAAACTCCACTCTAAATAGGGAAAAGGAGAACATTTAAAAAGCCAAGGTATCCTTCTGAGACTCAAAGTCCCCTAACAATCTTTCTACCAGCCAACCTTACTGCTGCTCAAACTTCAGCTCAGATTTGTATCAGATCTTATGCTGTCTGAGAGGAAGATGAAAGGCAGAAGCCAGGTCTCATCTGCTCTCACTCACTGGCCTGACGCTACTTTCTAAAATGGAGAAAAAGGGCAAATGAACAGAAAGCCAGAGAGCAGAGTACTTTCAGAGAACACTCTGTCAGTACTTACTAATGATCCCCAAGTCCTGAGGTCCTGGAAATCAAGAAAACTCTCTTTTGCTCCCTAGTGAACAGCAAGTAATGAAGGAGTTTTGATGAAAGCAGGTAACTTTCATCAGAAGACAGTTTTGTCAGGAAGGCCACATGCTTTGGCACTTCGGAGGTCTGGCTTTGGAACTGGACCCACTCTGACTTTCTAGCTAGTAGCCACTGCCAAATTGGCCATTCAAGTCTCAATTTCCCCACCTGTAAAATAGTGCCAATATTTCAGACAGAAAACTGTTGAAAGGATAAAGAGGTGCTTAATGCAAATTGCTTTGGCAAGTGCCTGGCAGGAAGCAGGCATTCGCACACACAGAGCTATTAGCATAGAAAAGAACAAGTAACTCAAAGTAGTAAGTTACACACAGAGAAAGGCAGTGGCCACAGGATGTCCTTTGTCTGCTCAGCCACCACCCTCTGCTGAATAACTGCAGTGAAAAAAACAAATCTGGGCTGTCACCTCTTATTTGCAGCAGCTGTTGGCTATGCATAGAATCTTTTCCTTTCCCAACAGTAAACAATCATGTGCACTGTGGCGCTGGGCTAATTTTGTTCACCTGTCCACTGCTCCACCTACAGTGTGCATCTAGAAGTACAGCCTCAATGCTGCTGGCAGCCAGCACCTCCAAGTTGAAAACACCATATGAATATATGCATGTAACAATTAATGAAAAAAGGAATTTGAAAGAGCATACAAGGATATAGGGAAAGGTTTGGAGGGAGAAAGGGAAAGGGTGAAATGGTGTAATTATTGTAACTCAAAAAATAAAGGAAATAATTGAAGAAAAAGAAAGAAGTATGAAAAAACTCATCTTAATGATAAAAATGTCTTGCATATTAATGCTAAAAAAGTATCAGTCCACGTCTAGGGGAACAAAGGAGACCAGTGGGAGTGAGGAGCGTGACAAGGGGATGGAGGGTGGGAAATATGTTGAACACCCAGACAGGAGTTCAAGAGCACAGCAGAGTACCTGAAGGGATGACAGCTACAGCTTTTTTAAACTCAATGAAACACACCAACTCACACACCTCTATGAAACCCAATGAACTCTAAACAAGATAAGAAAAACACCACACTGAAATTTGATATGGCAAAACTGTACAAGACCACAGATAACAAGCCAAGGAAGAGATTACTTTTTTAAAAAGGTAAAAGCTGAAACCTTAACAATGAAAACAGGAAGAGTCTCTTTAATTAACTAAGTTGAATATACACAGACTATACATCAGAGAATGTGGCACACAAAACCATGAGCCCTGAATGAGAGTGGGCAGCCTGGACTGAGGTGCTTGTGTACCCAGAGCCCGGTCCTCACAGCATGCTGACCACACTGTGGTGCCCTGGGCAGGGAAGCCCACACACATAAGCATTGGTTTTTTTGTACGTCAGTTTCCTGTTTCTCTTTATACCAATAAGTTTTTATGAGTGCCTCCTGATGCGCCAGGTATTGGGATCCAGTTGTTTTACCAGGCGGATTAATCAGCTCAGCTCACTGAGGACAGTTCCCAGCGTACGTTATCAGGAAACTAACTTCTGCCACATGCTTCCCTTATTGTCTGTCACCCACGCTCTCTGCCTCATTTCTCTGTGTATCTGGGATCTCTGTCAGACGGTAAGTGAAGTTAACAATCCATTAAAAAAATTAGAAAGCTCTATAACTCTAATTCATAGCAAAGATTTTTCAGTTTATTTTCTTTCCTCAGTGGTGTGGGGATCAAACCTAGGACTCAACTCAGACAAGGCAATCACTCTAAGCTGCGTCTCCAGCCCTAAGAAATATCTCTAAACAGGAGTTAACCCTGTCATCTCAACTGCTGCCGACTACAGTGAATGCACTAAGGGGGCACCTTCAGCCTTCCTGTGCTGGAATTTATAAACCATGGCGATGCAGTCACTATTGTCTCTACTCACCGTCTAGAATGGACATATTTCTAGATGTTGGTGCAGTGGCTTTGGAGCTTCTGCCTCGAGTAGCCCTCTCCAATCCAGTGTCTGCAAGTAGAATCATAAGCAGTCAGTAACAATCCTTTGGCAGCTAAAAGTGAGAACAGTGCAGAAGTAAAAGCTCAGTAAACAAATCATGCACAGAATGCCAGCAGCACACACAAAAACCAGCTAGAGCCTGAGGGTAAGATTTTGAGTGTTCTTAGTCACGCTGGTCCTTGGTTACAGCTTAAGAATGTAAATGTAAAAATGATAAAAATAATAAAATAATCACAGATTCTTCAGAGCTTTCTTTTGGCTTCTGTTTCTTTTTCTTTTTTCTTTTCTTTTCTTTTTTTTCTGATATATATATCAGGGTTTCACTATGTAGCTCTGATTGTCCTGGAACTTACTGTGTAGACCAGGCTGACCTCAAACTCACAGACATCCACCTGCCTCTGCCTCCCAAGTACTGGGATTAAAGGTGTGCACCACTGTGCCTGGCTTTTCAGAGCTTTTATATTAAGTCGAAATTCATGTTACCAGCTCAGGTTCCCATGGATAAAATATTTATTTACTTATTTTTTATTTTTATGTGCATGTGTGTGTACTTATGTAAGTTTATGGCCCCACACACATGCAGGATCCTGTAGAGCAGAAGAGCATAGGATCCCCTGGAACTAGAGTTACAGACAGTTGTGAGTTGCCATGTGGACGCTGGGAATTGAACCCAGGTCATCCAGAAGAGAAGCCAGTGCCCTTACCCCTGAGCTATCTCTCCAGCCCTCTCATGGATAAATATTCAATGAAGAGAACAAAGAGCTGTTCCTAGTGACAGATTTACGGACACCAGGAAGTCACTGGGTGGCCATGTTCTGTCATCTGGACCATCTCAGGACAACAGTGTCAGTGATGAGCACTATGCTGGGACTGCCTTTAGAAACCAAGGTGTTCAAAGTAGTGTTCTTTTAAACAAGCTCACAGAGATCATAGGCATTGTAAGTACTTTCTTTGTCTTCTGATAGTAGCAATATGTTTATGATCTGGAAAATGTTATACATTTTCCTTCATTCACATTTGTGTCACTCATTACTCCTCCATACACAAGAGACTATATACAAGAGAAGTACATCGTGAAGCTCTTAATTAGAGCTTAAAAACAGCTAACGCCTGTTGCATGTGGCCAGTTACAATTCATCCAAGCTGCAATACAGGCAGCTGTTATACATGACAAAAACAACTATGAAATTGTTTCAGAAACAAAATCTTGTACTTCAGTTCTGACCAAAGGACACGACCTGGCATTTCTCCTCTACCTTGCAAGTCTGAAGTGTTGAAAGACAAAGACGAACGCTGACCTCGGCCTCTCTGAGAACCTCCTCTGGGTGCAGTGCTCTGCCCTCTGCTTCCTCTTCGCCCTCGCCCTCGGCCTCGGCCTCTGCTAGGCACTGCAGACAGGCTGTCATCAGAGTCATCTGCTGTCTGTTCCGTTAAGTCAAAACTTGGGTCGTCAGGACTAAAGGCTGAGGCAGAGCTCTCTGACTGCGATCTGAGCGCGCGGGCCCTGCTCATGGCCTGTGCAACAGAGACAGCTCATCAGTAGAGGCACACCTTACCCACCACTCACACAGTCATCCTACGCAATGTCTGTAAAAGCCGGCCACGAGCTTCTCTTTTACAACGAGCTCTTAACTAAAGACAGAGAGAGCCATGAAATTTTAGAGCGCATTGATTCTCTTATTTTTAAATGACATTCCCCTAAAACAATACTTTTATACTCAGAAAACATAATCATATAAATTGTTATAAAAAGACTGAGAAAGAATTACCATCTCAGAACCAAGCACATCCACTTTCTTCATTTTGTAAGAAATCATTTAGAAAACACAAATATGAGATTTATCCAAACATTCTACTCTAAAATGAACAAACTTTTTCATTAAAAATTGAATGAAAATAATTATGCCCTGACCTCTTCACTGAAATCAGTCAAAATATAACAAAGGGAACAATCCCAAACAGGTTTTTAATAAAATTAGAAAATAATTCAACCCCCCCACACTACCTCTGAAGAGTAAATTCAGGCATCTGGGGAAAGCTGAAAAGTGACAAGTTGCAAACACTGAGGCACAGCTCCCACAGCTGTGGCAACTGAGGCTCTCACCAAAAAGCCAAGTTATTAATGGAAGAGTAGACCAGGGAATGCTTAAGCTCGAATAGGACACCACCAGCAATAAGAGAGAGGGGCCAAATGAGATGGGCAGAAAGCAGGCAGAATAGGAGTGGGGTGAAGGTGAAGCTGCAGGATCTGAGGTAGGAAGGAGGGAGGTTAATTCAGTTTCCAAAAAGTAGAAAAGGGCTCAGGAGACAGCTCAACAAAGTGCTTGCTTGCCTTGCAAGCATAAGATCTGAGTTCAAGGCCCAGGACCATATGAAAGCCATGCACAGTGATCCCTACTTGCAATTCCAGCACTAGCAAGGCCAAGCAGGGAGGATCACGGGGTTCATGGCCAGTCCATGACTACTTGCTAAGCTTCGGGCCAGCAAGACAGCTCACAACCGTCAGCACCTCCATTTTCGGGGCACAGACATAGCACTAAATATCCAAAGAAAAAACAGCAGAACTGTGCTTATGAATACAGCAGGTAACCCAGGAGTACCTTCAAGACTGGAATGCAACTAACAGATTTTACCAAGCGATAAGACAGGGAACCAGAGTACACATTAATACAATCCACATGAACAGAATGCAAGGGAAACCCCACTTTCTCCCTCCCTAGATGCCAAAAGGCTAAAGCTTTTTTCTCCACCACTCCTGATTTATGCAACAGGCTTCAGGAACAGGTGAATACTTCTACATGACACACATACACACACATACACACACACACACACACACACACACACACACATACACACACAAAAGGTAAGAAGCGGGAAAGAGGAAGAAGAGAGAGAGGGCAGAAGGAGGGGGTTAGCCTCACTCCACTATAAGTAGGTACATCACATGAATGCTTTATATACATTAGAAAACTGCTCATGGGGATTGGGGATTTGGCTCAGTGGTGCAGCCTTGTCTAGCAAATGCAAGGACCTGGGTTCAGTCCTCAGCTCCAGGGATTGGGGAGGAGGGGGTTTATGCTCATTTACTGTTAAGAAAGGAAACGTGACTCAAACACAACATTAAGAAAGAATCCCTTGAGATCCACAAAGCTCAAACCTCTAGTAACACAAGATGAGAGGGATGTGGAAATGTGCACTTACAGACACCAGTGATTAGAAGGCAAGCTAGTATAGCACGTCCATAGCAGCAGAGATGAGGAGAGCACTGAAAATCCCCATGTCCCACTGTGGTGCTTATTTTAAGTCAACAACCACCATTCCCAAATTACCTATTTTTCTCTGTCTAAATACAATCTTTATTTTCATTTTCTCAAATAGGATAGTCAAGCAGTGTTCTAGCTCACCATTTCTGTATAACAGCTCTAAGTTTACTGACTCTAGGACTTATTCTTCATCTCAAACTGAAACTCCACCATTCTCCATCTCCAAGTCCCTGGGAACCCCCTCATCCTGCTCCATCCCTATGACTGAATAACACAGTACCACATACAGATGAAATATTAATTTGTCTATGAATCTGGCTCTTTCCCACTCAGCGTGCGCTCAGAATCCATGCACACTGGAGCATGTTTTAGACTGTAGTGATGTGGTGACACTCCCTTGCAGGAGGATACCACATTTTGCTCATCCAACAGCCTATTGATACAAACCTGGCTGTGTCTAACTTGGCTACTGTCAATCATACCCTAAGAGCACTGGCAATGAGTATTCACTTGAGACTCTATCTCCAATCCCCTTGGCTTTTTACTTAAGCCAGACTGTACGAGGACCACATGGCAGTCCTGTGTTTCATCTTTCTCAGGAGAGGTCATATTACTTTCCATCTCAGTGGCACCAGGTCCTCCTCCTATCAGGAAGTACAGGGCTCCAAGTTCTCCACATAGGTGCCAATACTCATCCTTGTTCTTTTCTGTTAGTGTTCTCATTCTTTCTCCCTAGCTTTCACTCTTGCTTCCCTAATGAGGATGGTGGCAAGTCTCTCTGCATTGTAAATACTTACTATCCTCAAGAGCTGATGAAGCACTTGAAAACCTTTGAAAAGATGTCTAGCCAAGGATTTTGCCCATTTTTAAGTTGCTGCTATTGTTGAATTTTAGAAGTCTTTTTTAATGCAACATAGACACCAAATCCTTGTATATATGATCCGTAAGTACTTCCTCCCATCCTGTGAATCCTCCTTCACTCTGGGTAAGGCTCAGCACCACATTTTGAAAGGGTGTACTAACCCCATCGGAATTCAGTAGTTTCTAAGCATTTATAAGCCAGAAAAACAAGGACTATGTGCCAGACTAAGAATAGCACTATGTTTTTATAAGATTGAAAGAGACAGCAGTGCAGAGGATGAAGTCTTAGCAGCCTACAAAATGCAATCTTTGCTGTCTATCCTGGTCCAATGTTTCCAAGTCAACTTGTGCCTAAGAAAATAGTTGAGCTTTTCCCATGTGAATAAGAAGCTCTATGGCATGTTATTTTTTTCCTCTAAATGAAAGGAGTAATACTTTCATTTGTCTTTTAAAATAACCAAAACACTGTAATAGGATTCATATTCTGACCTCAAAGAGTCTGACAAAGATGTGAATTACATCTTGGGAAAGTGCCAACTCTTTATTACTCTCATCCAAATAGGCTGCTGAGGCTGAACACCCTGTCAGCACCCTACAGCATTCTGGAAGTGCTTTTTGATACAGTTTAATATGTTTTCCAGACTTCACGTGCTGTAAACTTTATCCACAAAGCCACACATATCAACTGTATGGAGTGGTCACTGCATGAGGTCAGCTCTCATGAGTGGATTAATCTATTCATAGGATTAATGGACTCAGAAGTTATGCAGGCAGTGGCTCTGCTATGAATGAAAGCTAGCACACTCACTGCCTCACCATGTCATGGGATCTGACATGTCAGAACCCTGCAGTAAGACTCACTAGATGCCAGTACCATATTCTCCAGCCTCCACAATTTCCAGTACTGTGAGCTCAAAACATTTCTATATTTTATAAATTATGTGGTCTCAGGTATTTTGATACAGCAAGAGAAAACAGACTAAAAATATAGCTAAGTTTTAGGCTTTTACTACTACTCTGAAGGGCTCCCACTTGAAATCTGTTACATTTCCATATAAAGTATTCACAATTCCATTTGCTGTTTTGTTTTTGTTTTTTGGTGGTGACAGGGATAGATCACACAGCCTCACACATGCTAGGTAGGCTAGGTAGCATCTGACCACTGAGCTAGGCACTCAGCCCCACTCGTCTTTTTAAAAGGACTAATGAAAAACTGAGGTTAGTTGCTTCATTCCCAAAGCACTCAATGTCAAAGTATTTCCATTATATATTCAGTTAACCAAGATTAATCAGATAATCCAAGAACCAGGAAATACTTCATTCTTGCACAGCCTGTTTTAAGTGCACCATGTTAGATGAATGAAAATGGAATAAATACAAGTGAGCCAAGCCTTGGGATCCAGAACACAACCTACAAAAAGCACGGCAGGTACATCTAGGCACATGATTAATGCTGGTTTGGATGGGCTCAGAAGCTTTCAGTTTTAGCCATTTATTGGCCGTGCATAAATATTATGACACACTGGGCCCCTGAAAAGACATCTGCTGGCACAAAGTCAAGATTTTGAGGCAGACAGATGTCCAAATTCCAGTACCAGCACGTAACTGAGTCTAGTCTCCGTCTCCTCATTTGTAAAATAGGGGATGATAGTGCAAGCACAGCATCTACAAAAATAATTTAATAAATATATTTTTTATACACCTCTCACATAGCTGCACAGGAAATTCTTGTGGTCAAAAACCAGAGCTCTTCCATACGTGTACTCCTAGTAAAAAGCAGAATACTCGTGATAGCCACAAAACTGCCAATTGAGATTAAAGGCAATTCAGACAAAGCCTCAGGAGAAAATAATGTGTGAAATAACCATGAAACAGTGACAGTAAGCAAAACACAAAAACACACAACCAGAAAACAAAAGTACATCTCAATCATGATTTCACCAAACACCAGTAACAGTCAGTTGCTGGAACTTTAGTAAGCAGTTTCAAATATACTTTTCCTGACACTTAAGGAGACTGAGGTAGATTTCAACATTCTAACTCAGAAATATCTCTAGGTGTTATTTTCATTAATGAGGATTCCCTTTGAATCTACCCTCACCATGAAATGTACAAATACGTTTCAACAAGAGCAGAAGGGAGAACAGCAGTGACAGACACATACTTGTCGCTGATGTGAGATCAGCTCAAATCAACCAAGGCTGGTCAGAGAGTTCACTCCTAAACACATGTTCTTGGGCAGTCTGTCCAAATATACCCACTGGTGCTTCTGATTCACAAATCAATCTACAAACACAGGAGGCTGCAGCTGGAAAATTACCTCTCGAACTTCATCATCTTCTTCGTTGATATTTCTCTGTCTGCTTTCTCTGAAACGTCGGACCTAAGACCACAACAAAGAGAGTCAGACACAGTATGTTCTAACAGTGAACCCAATCAGAATACAGGTGACAAAAGGACAGAGTCATTGGCAACTTGGTGGGTTTTGGTCCATGTAAATGAAAGACTAGTGTCTACCAAAACTCTACTGGGAGAGCAGGACAGAGAATAGTTATTTTCTTTGGAAGATCTGTTCATCATGCACAAGGAACAGGCTGTGAGCTGCGCAAGTCTGGAGCTGAGAGGAAAGGCTTGGGAAACACTTGTGAGAGTCACCACCAGAAATGAGATGCTGGATGAAATTAGAAGGTGGGTGTGTAGACAGGAGTCGAATGACTGAGCTCTGGGGAGTCCAGCCTAAGAGGATGGGAAGATGAACGTTACCAGGAAAGACAATACTCTACCAAGGAGGGGAGAAAGTATGCCCAATGTGTGGAGTCCTCTAAGTTAAAATGTGTCAAGAAGTTTGGCAGCAGTCAAAGCAGGTGTCCCTGACAGGGGTGCTGGCAAAAGGAGTCACTGGAAACCTTGACAAGAGCAGCTTCACTGACACCAGGGGCCAAAAGCCAGCCTGGGAGACAGGCAGGGTGGTGCACATCTTTAATCGCAGCACTCAGGAGGCAGAAGCAAGTGGATTGCTGTAAGTTCTAGGCCAATTTGGTCTACACAGTGACCAGATAGCCAAGGATAAAGAGACCCTGTCTCAGAGGGGAAAAAAGTCGACACAGTAAGGCAAGGTGCTCTGAGCACCAAAAGTCCTGTTCTTCATGTAGAACATATGAGCACAACCAGAGGGCAAACTGCTAGACACAGTTTTAATCCTCACAACCATGGTGAACTCCCTTTTCATGTCTTGTTCATGGCTCTACTGAAATGTTAAATACCTTCTATAGCTTTAAATGAGCCTTTTAATATTATATTGAAAACATTAGCCCTTTCTTCTATACACTTATGAACATTTTCTCCTCATTAATACCCTTTAACTATTTAACATGACAATATTTAAATTTCTTTTTTTTGGCTTGATTTTTTGAGACACGGTTTCTCTGTGTAATAGTCCTGGCTGTCCTGGACTTGCTCTGTAGAGCACGATGGCCTCAAACTCAGAGATTTGCCTGCCTCTGCCTCCCTGAATGCTGGGATTAAAGGCATTTGTCACCATGCCTGGCCTCAATACTTAAATTTCAATGTAGTCCAATGGAAGTTTTTCTCTGTTGCTCCTAGATAAGAAAAGAGAAGGCATGCTCCTGGTGAGATTCAAAAGCTCAATCAAAACTAATGAAAGAGCAGCAATTCGTAGGCTACAAGCTTCATTCTAAAGCATTCTTGGGAGCTCTGCGAGACGCTTTCTCCAAGATAGACCCACTTTACAGGCAAGGTACAGAGAGTTTAGAGAAGTCAAGGATCAGCACACAGATGTTGAGGCGATTCTGAGCACAGACAATGCAGTCCAAAGGCCATGCTCTTGGCTGCCATGACACAAAGACAAAGACACACACTGTGCAGCGCAGGAATCAAGGTCAAGACAAACCACCTCAAACAACACATCTAGAATCATGGAGTGAGTAGCCCTAAGTACAGACCTGCTCGTCTTGAATGGCACTTGACATGAAATGATACTATTTACATATAACATAGAAAGGCTTTAAGAGGGTCGTACTAACCACACTAAGATGAAAGGCAAGGGACTGCATTCATGAAATAGTGTTTCGTTGTATAGGGAAGGTAATTTCATGCAATCCAGATCTGTAACCAAGGTACTTGCCAGTACATTTAGATAATTCTCTGTGTTTAGATAAAAACAGATAATTCTGCAATTATCTATTCACACTCATGCATGTGATGAAAATGAGTGGGTTAGTTTGTATGGCTCTGCATCCTGACAACACTGTTTGCCTGTAACATTATACAGAAAATACTTTTCCATGCCTTTCCAACACATATTTTTTGTTTATTTGAGACAGGGTCTCACACAGCCCAGGTTGGCCTGAAACTCATTATGTATTGAGGATGACCTTGAACTCCTGATCCCCCTACATCCACTTTCTAAACTCTGGAGTTATGGGCATGCCATTGCACCTGGCCAAAATCCGAACACTTAATAGCTATCAAGACTTCTAGAAAGTCTATGTGACAGTGCTCAATGAAACAGAAGTTTCCCAACCATTCCCCACTGAGCACAGCACTAGCAGTAATTATGCTGTTTCTAATTTCTGTCTGATTGTTTTCTTAGGACAATTGCCCAGGGCCACACTAAGGTAAAGACTTCCTCAGCCTCCTGATGCTCATAGCCTTGCTGCTTCGAGGAAGCTGTTCAGCACACCTCCTCCAACAGTGCATTTACTGCCAGCTTTCTCAAGTCCAACTTGACAAACAAAATCCATTTAATATTAATGGCCTTGGTTAACTGTGGCTAAATACCACCTTCTCAAGCTTGTTAGCCATTTATACTTCCTGAATTCCCTTTTCATGTCTTTTGTTCATGGCTCTATTGAAATGTTTAATAATTCTATAGCTTTGCATGAGCCTTTTAATATTATATTAAAAAATGTCAGGCTTTTCTTCTGCATTCTTACAAGTATTTTCTCCACATTAATACCCTTTAATTTTGCTTTTTGACATGCCAATATTTAAATTTCAATTTAGTCCAATGGAATTTTTTCCTCCTTGAGATAAAAAGGGAAAACATGCTCCTGGTGAGACTCAAAAGCTCAATCAAAACAAAAAAAAAAAAAGTAAAAGAGCAACAATTCTTAGACTACAAGCTTCACTCTGAAGCACTCTCGGGAGCTCCGCGAGACGCTTTCTCCAGGAAAGACCCAACCTTTACTCAGCACCAGGCACATGTCAAACTGTACTGGCTTTTGCCTAGCTACTGTCTAATTTATTCCTCAGTTTATCCCTCAACTTTATAGATGAGGAAACCAAACAAATCAGAGACTTAGACAGTGGTTGATCCAAAGCAAAACAAGACCTTAGCACGACTCCTGAGAGCCTGTCAGTTATCAGCTTACCTCTTCATCAATTTTGTCCTCCAGGACATCGATATGGCGCTCCTTAAGAAACCGCTGTGTTTTCTCCAGCTGGTACTTCACTAATTCCTCGATGGCATCTTTCTCTTCCTTGTCCACAAATTCTTGAACAGCTTCACCCATCCCTCTTTCTGTCAGCAGTGAGAGCTGAATATTCTGTATAAGAACACACAAGCTGTTTGATGCACAAGTACTACCTTTTCCTCATTCAGTAACTACCCAAGAATGAAAACACAATCTGCTCCAGGAAAAGATAAGCTGGGGGTGCAGGGATCAGCAGGCAGCACTTAATAAGCCAGTGGCTCAATATGAAAGGGCCAGAAAAAATGGGAGAGGAGTCAAAGACAGGTGCAGTTGTGGAAGCCTTAATGGCTGTGACTACAGAGAGGCCACAGTGTCTACTACAGATGAGGTTAAACCACTGGGGTAGGCAAGGTGATGGCTAGGACGATGTCCCCACCTCACTCTGGGACTTCTGACTATGTTATATGGTGAAGTCTGAGGCCACAGATGCTGTTGAGGCTGCTCATCATCCAGCTGTAAGTGACAGAGGTTATCTGGGGCTTTCCGGGCAGCCCCATCTAATTAAGCACAGGGTTCCAGCAGAAGGAAGTGGGAGGCAAGGAAGGCACAACTGGGAAAATGATTAGAAATGCAACACTGTTGGCTGTGTACATGGACAAAGGAGACTAAGCCAAGATACACAGGACTGCTAGTGGATGGGAAAGGGAATAGACACTCCCTCACAACTTCCAGAGGGAAACATGAGTTTGCTGTACCTTGATTTCAGCCCAGAAAGACCAGTGCCATTTCTGACCTAGACAACTTCCAGGTAACAAATTTGTGTTTTTTAAAATAAGTACAACCAAAAGAGTTCAAGTAGCCTCACTATCATGGCTGTATCGATAAAATAACTAAATAAAAAAAACTACAAACAAACATAAGGTAAAAATCTTAGATCAAGACTTTTACAGGAGTGAGAGAAGAGCAACACAGTGCCAACTATGTGTCCTGTTAATTGCACTAGCAATATTCACCAAGCACTGACACCAACACTGGTTACTTCACAGACCCACCAAGGAGTCATTTTACTTATTCCTGTGCTAAAATCTGCCATGTCAGCCATTCTTAAAAAACCATGAGTGTGGTGGTTTGAATAGAAATGGTCCCCATAGACTCATGTGTATGACTGCATGGCTCATAGGGAGTGGCACTATTAGGAGGTGAGGCCTTGTTGGAGGAAGTGTGTCACTGTCGGGGTGGGCTTTGAGGTCTCCTATGCTCAAGGTCTGCCAAGTATGGCACACAGTCCCCTTCTGCTGCCTCAGGATCAGGATGTAGAACTCTGGCTCCTCCAGCACCCTGTCTGCCTGCACGCTGACAAGCTTCCTGCCATGATGACGATGGACTAGACCTCTGAAAGTGTAAGCCAGCCCCAGTTAAACGCTTTCTTTACAAAAGTTGCCATGGTCATGCTGTCTCTTCACAGCACTAGAACTAAGACAATGAGCTCCAGGGAGTTACCTTCTCTGCAGTCTGGAAATACTGCTTTACAAGGTCTTCTACTCTGAGTGTCATTCCTTCTGAAGCAGGTTTTGGAATGAGCTTCCCGAAGTTGATCTCTTCTCCTGTAGAAAGGAGACCACCAAAAAAAAAAAAAAAAACCAGCAGCTTCTATAACACATTAAAACAGTCAAACTCTCACCTATTCCTCAGTGGTTCCACATAAACTTTAAGGCAAAAAAAAAAAAAAAAAAAAAAGCCATTTTTGCTAATGGCCCTGGGGTTGTCTTAGATTTGTTTCTTTTTCCAGACAGTCCACATTCAATTTCCCCATCTTTAAAAAGCCTGGCTCTTGCCACTGTTCTGCTAAGTTTGCCTTCAGACCCTTCACTCCCACATAGCCCTTTCAGGAAGTATCAAAGTCAAAATACTCTCACATTAGCAGACATTACTTGCCTCTTCCATTGTGTGGACATCTGCACTAATGATGGACTGGTGGTGGGCAGAACTTCCAGGACCCAGGATTAACCACAGCAGCACCTAAAAGTGCTACTAACGTCACCATTACACACCCCCACTTCAAAATAAAGGAAGTCAGTTTCACTGACAATGCTTCTTACAGGCCGACTAGTAAAAGTCATTTTATTAACTCTAAGCAGTAAGCACCTGTCAGCTTTCTGTGAGCACACTAACAGAAGTATACTTAATGCACTTCTGCTGACATGCAACAGACATGCAGCAATGACCACAGGGCAGGAAATCGGGGAACAGGCCCAGCATTTGCTCTGCTGACAAGAACACTACATGAGAAAGGACTCCCTGCCCATGAGAGCAAACATGGCAATGTAAGGTGGTAAATGCTACAGAGACTGGACACTGAGAAAGGCAGACTCCACATGCAGACATCAAAGGCAGCTATCGTCTAAACACAGAACAGAGATGATAAACTGAAGGAGGAAAACATCTTCCACAAGGGAACGTTTAAAAAAATGTCTGGATGATAGAGACATTGTCTAGTTCAGTATGTCTCTTGACAGCTTTATGAGTTCCAAGGCAGAAGCTTTAATAATACTTTACAAACATGATGACTACTCTACATTTACCAGGCACTGTGTTAGGGCCGTTTACAAACAATTTTGGTTTTAAAATGAGGAATTTTTACAGTGGAGTAGTTAGTAATTTATACAATGTCACACATGTAGCAACGTGTGAAAGTGGCCAAAATTAGATGCCACTTTCAGTTAAGATACATACAGGTGATACCATTTCCACCAAGTAACTCATGTTTAATATTATATATATATATATATAAATATAATATATCGCCAGGCCAGAATCTGTTGGGGATAAAACTCAAACAAGATAAGGTTCTTGTTAAGGAACTGATAAGTAAATGGCTAAAACTTTTATAGCCAAAGACACAGTTCTTGCATGGCTTTCTGTTCCCTATACTTCAATATCTGAACAATGGCTTCAGGTTGAATTCACAGCATTCTTTACTTTTTACCCAATGTGGTTTTTTTTAATCTAATCTAACCTAATGTTTGCCTGAATGTATGTGTATACAGCATGTATAAGCAGTGCTTGGAGGCCAAGGATGGTACTGAAATCTCCTGAAATTGGAGTTACAGATGTTGTGAGACACCATGTGGGTGCTGGGAATTGAACCTGGGCCCTCTGGAAGAATAGCCAGTGCTCTTAACCACTGAGCCATCACTTCCAACTCCACCATTCTTAATTTCTACCACTGCTGAAAATTTTCTTACTAGCTATAAAAGAAAGGGCTCTCTATAAAGAACATGAAAGATATTTCTTATTTTTTAAAAAAAGCATAATTTTAGTAGATGACTTTGTTTTATAGTTGACAGGGAACTAAATGTTTATAAAATTTAACTGGAAATGAACTACTCAATCATCAAAAATACCAAACTACAGGACACTCTTGACTTCAAAAGCCTCGAGTCTTCCTAAAGCACTGCACACACTAAGTTAAAAAACTTAATAATGCAAACACTGAAATCATGTGCTCCGACTGTTAATGGATGGTAGGAATCAAGCATGCACTGTGAACAATAGGGCCTCAAGTCTGCGAGCGCTGTCACTTAGCACCACTGTTTAAAAAGCCGTGTTTGCCGACAAAGCCTTCCTTCAAACCCTCATTAATAGTCACAACTTTAAAAACTGAGTGCAGCTGGGTGAGGCAGTGCACACATGCAGAGCCAGCACTCAGGACACTGAGGAACGATCCACAGTGTGAGGCCAGATGGAGCGACACAGCAAGACCTTGTCTCCAAAAGCAAGAAAATGAGAAAATACCCCAATGTTCATTTTCAGAAGATAAAATATTCGCTTGCCATTTTTGTGAAACATTACGAATACTAAACTATTTACTACTATTTTGTATTTCCTTTATCAAAGACTGGTTTACACAAATCCTGCCACAGCATTCTTTAGCTTTTTAAAACAACCAGTTTACCCGTCTTTTCTTTTTGTTCCCTGTGCCTGAAAAAGTGGATGATATCTTTTGGGTTAGCGACCCGGTCCACAAACTTCTGGCTAAAACGAAGAACGTTGAAAGGTTCAAAGCCTCCACTGTAGTCCACCTGGAGAGACAGAGTAAACTATTAGACCAGAAAACACTGTGCTAATTTTTGAGAAATACACTTTTTTTTTTTAGGCATCTATAGTTTGGTATTTATTTTTATCAGTGTAAATGCTTTTACACTTTTAAACTCATGTTCTATGTTTCATGATCATGATGATGTTAAACCATTTGTCCCATTGACAGAATAGTACTCAGAAGGTGAAGTTTACACAAACACACCTCCTCTTGTTTAACAGAACAAGGCAATGCCATCCTAGCGTGCTGAAATGCACTCTATCTCCCAAGACAGCCTATGTACACAGCATGGTACTAGCCGGAAACAAGGTGGGACTTTTAAGTTAATTTCTCAACTTTCAAAATAAAGAGATAAACCCTTAACAAAATAAAATACCCTCCTTACACATGCTATCTTATTCACCTGTGTCCCAGGGAGATATCTCCAGACTGGACAAAGACAAGTACCAGGAAAATCCAGACAGTGACAAAATTCCATGTCTGTGGGTTCTGAGAAATGACTACCTATGGTGGTTTGAACAAGATGTCCCCCACAGTCTCAGGCTTAGCAGGTGTGGCCTTGTTCAAGGAAGCATGTTCCCAAAGGCAGGCTTTGAGAGTAAAAAGCCTCAACTACTGCTAACCTGCACTCTCTACTTCATGCTTGTGGCTCACAATGGGAGCCCTCAGTTTCTACACCAGCCACCACGCCTATCGCCCGCTGCCTCTGCTCCACCAGCATGGACTCTAACCTCTGAATTCATTAGTTGTCTGTATTGTGTTGAATGTTGTAAGAAAATAGCCCGCAAATGTGGTGGCACCTCCTAACAGAAGGTCAGCTAAAAAGGGCAGGAAGACTATTTATGGTTTCCTTACTTGCCCTTCCCTCTTGCTGTTAAGATGATTATCCCATTGCTGCTGCTGTAGATTCCTTCACTTATATTAAAATGAGCATTTCCAGGTTTTGACCACTGACGACCCAGTGGAACTCTCCAGGTCTTCTCCAGATTGGGACTGCTGAGTCACCAGCTAGCCTCATGAACCATACAATTACAGGGTTCGTGGCCTCTACAAGAACTGTGATTACTCCGACCACTGAAGAAACAGTCTGTCAGGATCTCAGCCCTTCAGGTGTATCCCAGGCCTTCTCAGATGGTAATGTCAGACAAATCTCTTGAGCATCTTGTCAGAAGGCAACAGGGTCAGTGTGGGATCTGGAATTCTACATTTTAAACGATGGTGACGCCAAGGTTGCTCACCTAAGGCCATACCTCCTGAGCATCAGGACTTAGAGATAAATAAGGAGTCACCACTACCAAATGCTATTAGAGCCATATACCTAGACTGAAAAGATGGCTAAGAGACGGGAGGAGCTAGAGATAGCTCAGAGAGTGCCTGAGAGAAATTCAGTGGCAAAACTGAGGTGAACTCAAAATTCAAGATCACCTGCTCCATTGGAGCTTGATGATGGCGACTGAAGGAACAGAACATAGGAGGGCTGCGGGCCATGTATGCCTTAGTACATGGAAGACAAGAAGAAAAACACATTTGGTGCAGGTGGATAGAGAGAAGCACTGGGAGAAATGAAAGGCCTGCTCTAGTCTGTTTATATCAGACTGGGAAAGATGGGCTGACTTACAGGGACAGTGCAGCTCACATAGTAACCAACATAAGTAAACCGTACACAGTAAGTACAAGAATTTGTGGTGAAACAAAAGGACAACATGAGTAGACCAGCAATGCAAGAGAGCCACAGCACTGGAGCAGACTCACGGAGAGGGAGAAGAGATACGATTCCCCCCCAGGAGCTTCAGCAAGGCCAACTTGCCCAGAGTGAAGTGCTGTAGTAAATTTTAAAAAAGGGTGTTGGGCTATATAGTTTGCCCTATGACTATAACAGTGGCATTATCTAACCTGCTATCACAAATAATAAGACAACAGACACCTGTTAGATTTTATAATTGCCTTATTAACCTTGAGCCGTGCAGATATTCCTATCTACGCTGTCTGAATCACCGTACCATCCATCTCTCAACTCCCATCCAATTCCATCCTCCTTAATGCTCCTATCTTCCATCCATAATCTTATAAATATTTGCTTTTATTCTTCATCGGGGCCCTTTTACACCATTATTGGAATTCTTCCTCCTGGCCCCACGTGGTTTCTTCTCCAAGCTAACCCACTGTGGCATCCTCCTTCTTCCTCTCTTCCTGTAATTCTCTCTGAAGCCTGGGAACCTTAGCCATGCCTACCCCATTCTGCCCTGTCCAGATATAAGCTGCTTAGTGAATCAATCTGATATAATGACTTAGGCAGGCTTACAAAAAAACTGAGGATAGGTTTAACCAGATCTCAAGGGTCAGTAGTAGAACAACCCCCAACAGTGGAACAGAAAGGCAAGGCAAAGACAGATCAGAAACAAATTATTCAGGAAATAACAGAAGTACGAATAAAGTACCAAACCTATAAAATTTACCTGAGATTAAATCAACCACACGCTTCTGGATTTCCCAGTTTTACCTCTGGGGGTACTCTTCTCATTACTATAAGCACTTAACTTACTAATTTTCAGAAAAGCATGTCAAGTGTGTATTATTATAAAAACTAATAAGGTTTACTAATTCACACACAGGACTTACCCGTAGTCGTATAAGAGGCTTCTCCGGCTGTTGAGAATTCCCCAACCGATCCCGCTCAGCATTTTCAAGCATTTCTTCAATCTCAAAATAAAAATGGTAAAGTATTAAACTTTGTGCAGATGGGTTGACACAGTTTATATTACTGACAGAATTCTGCACAGCTCCTCAGCCACCTTGAAGTCCCATCTTACTGACATCATCTAAACACCTTCTCGGAGTGCTCCAACCAACACCATCCCTTAACCTTTTTTCCCTTGCCAACATTCTCAGTAATTTTTCCATCCCAATAAAACTCCTTTGCAAGAAAATCTACAACACTGACAGTTCCAATTTTCTACTCATGTTTCAACACGGTTTCTCTCACCTTTAAACCAAATAAATCGAGTTTTCAGTGTTGTTATGTAGACTCTGCAGGAAATCTATAAGATCTTGGATTGTTTGCCTTGGAAAGGTCAAGTAAACAAAATCAGTGTTTCCAATATCTATCTGAAGTTGCCCAACTGTACCAGGTCAAGTCTATAAAGCCTCACAGAGATACTAAAACAAAAGCACTCATCCTACACTGCTCGTGAAAGAGCTATGGTCCAAGAGGGTAGATTTTATTTCCAACATGTTTTTCTAAGGCTGCCGTTATTCGCCAGTCTGAGGTCTTTTCCAAGTCTGAGGTTGTATAATGCTGCTCTGATCTCCCTGCCTCCACGTGACAAATACTGGGGTTATAGGAATGCAGCACCATACATGGCTCCTCAGAAATAATACTTCACCTCTGCAGTATCTGGTACTACTACTATAAGGCACACGTGGACACAGGGTACTTGAGATGTGGTTAGCATAGTCAAGAACATGAATTTTGAATATAGTAGTGTACAGCCATCTGTGCTAGTGACTAGATTATTTGACAAAAACCAGCTTTTAAAAATGAGATCTACTTGGCCAATTCTCAGTCAACCAGCATGCACATAGCACCCATGAGCCAGGCTGCAACACAGTGCTAACCAGAAAGGCAGGAAACTGGACATGGTGGCACATACCTGGAACCCCACATTCCAGAGGCAGAAAGAAGACAGAGTTTGAGGTTCTATAGTGAGCTCCAGGCTAACTCAGCAATAGAACAAGACTGTTTCAAAAACCAGAAGAAATTTAAAATGCAAAAACACTTACTGAGTGGGCCTTGTCCTCACAGGTACGAAGATAACAACATAATTAAGGACCATATCAGAAAGATACCAGAAATGACCAAGTTGTGCACAGTTTAATTCACTGCTGCCAATAACCATTTTTCCTGTCTAGATTCTAAGACTCTTCTAAGGGTAGGGCATGCCAGTAATCCAGGCACTTGAGAGGTACAGGAAGGAGGTTCACAGCAAACTCAAGTTCTAGGCTAATCAGGGCCTCATGTCAAGAACCTTTAAAAAAAAAAATAGCAAAAATAAAGAAAAATAAAGAATGGAATTTAGGTACAAGGATTGCAGTGGAGCTCAACCAGAGGTGATTTCAACCCTCAGGGAACAGGTCAGTCTGTGTCATCATGACTGTAGGGAAAGAGATTGTGCTGGCTAGTTTTATATCAGCTTGATACAACTAGAGTCACCTGAGAGGAGGGAACCTCAAATGAAAAAAATGACTACATCAGATCTGGGCTGTAGGGCATTTCCTTAATTAGTGATTGGTGAGAACAGCCCAGCCCATTGTGGGCAGTGGCTTCCCTGGGCTGGTGGTCCTGGGTTCTCTAAGAAAGCAGACTCATCAAGCCATGGAGAGCAAGCCAGTAATCATCCTCCTCCATGGCCTCTGCAGCAGCTCCTGCCTCCGGGTTCCTACCTTAGCTTCCCAAAATAGACAGTGATCTGGGACATGTAAGCCAAATAAACCCTTCTCTCCAAGCTGCTTTTGGTCACAGTGTTCCATCACAGTAGCAATGACCCTAAGACCGGGAGATACTGGCATTAGGTAGACAGAGGCCAAGGAGAAAGCTGCAGAATACTCTACAGTGCAGAAAACAGGCTCCCACAGCAGGGAGTTAGAGCGTCAAAATGCAAACTGTGCCTAGGCTGAGAACCCTCCAACTGACTGCAGGGAAGAGTGCACACCTCCGTTATGGATACAGCACACAAAATCAACCCAGGAATTTTCTACCTGCCTGACTTCAGGGAATGGTTTTCACCAATAAAACTATTCAGAGATATTTGGAGCTAGTAGGAAAAAGTTCTGTCAGCTACACAGAAAATTTAAGTGTATGGGCCACAGGTGACAATGTCGTCCTGATAGTGAAGAATAGCAGGGAAAACACAAGAGTTTGTGGAAGGGGCCTGGCCACAAACACAGAGAGAGACAAGCCTTCAACCCTCGTAAGCTTAAGTCTGTGAAACCGGTCACCTTGGAAGGTGCACACGCTAAAGCTTTTCAGTTATGCACAGCACATGTTGCTTCTTCAGTTGTGACACTGGCCAGTTGCCTAATCTAAGCTCCAGTTTGTGGTACAGACATGGATTAGGAAACTAAAGCACTGATTCAATTCCTGAAAACAATAACAAGGAAGAGGAGAGAACAAAAGAAGAAAGAGAAAGCGGGAGGTAGAACCTATCCACACACAGCACGGTGAATGGATTTAAATAATTCCTGGGACAGAGCACAGAAGCAGTCAGCACACATCAGTAATCATCACTGTTATCCTCATTTCCTACCTTACATGAGAATAATGTAAAGCCAATGCTGGCAGAGTGGACTAAATAATATCAGCAGTTGAGGCTCTAAAGTTGCCAGCCTATATATGATAAGAATGTGCAGCCCGACTACAGCAGGGAACCCAGAGCCTCACAGAGGCTGACAGGTGGCAGTGATCTACATCAGAAAGGGAAACTAAAAGTTAATTTGTGCAGGACCACAGTGTCCTCCCATCTCCAAAGTCAACGTCTGCTTTCAAAAGAAAATGAGCCAATTACCAGATGCAGATGAAAATAAGGAAAATGGAGATATGTGCTCTTTAAAGAAAGAAGCTCTGGAAAAGTTAACTAATGTCTTCTCTGTATCTAGCATTCTTCCGTATATTAAAAAAAAAAAAAAAAAGTCTTTCCAGTTGAACATTCAGCCCTAAAAATCCATTTATTCTTTCTCCTCTAAGGCTCAGGGAACATTGAGAAAGACAGGGCAGAAGAATGTAAGAGCCAGAAGATAAAAATGACTACAGAACATTACCTTCTGGAAATGACATAACCATTGCAATTACAAACTCACTGCAATTGCATCGATCCTGCACAAGACTCATAGTCAGTCATAGATGAAATACTGGCTATGGATGAATTCTGGGGAAGGGGCAGTCATCTTCAATTAGGTACTCTCTGATGATGAGCACACCAGGCACCAATGGATAGTTCCAACCCCAGGGTCACACAGATGGCCCTATTTGAACTCAGTCACAAAACAAAAAGACATGAATGTAAAAAAGAATTCTTGTGTTTGGTGGGAGTGGGGGGAATCAAGGGTAGAAGGGAGAGAAGGGGAACATTATATACATGCATAAAATAGTCAAAGCGCAAAATTTAAGTAATTCTATTTAAAAAAAAAAAAAGACTTTGAGTTTGTTTTCTGTGCAGCACCGGCGCTGACATAGATGGCTTCCCTCTGCTCTGCAAAGCCCTGTAACTGAGGTCAGTGATTGTTCAACCAAAGCAGACCTCACTGCCGTTCTCGGAAACAGTTACCTTCTCCAAACAGAAGCTCTGGATGGCCTGGGTCACCTTAGGATTGTCGGGGTTGAAGAGGCTTGGGTGGTTAGCCAGAACCACATCCTCCATGAAGAACTGCCGCACAGTGCGGAGAGGCAGCTTCTGCATTTTCATCTTCCTCCCTTTGATGTGCAGCAAGCCCACATGCCTACACGGAGGAAGAGAGAGCTCAGGCATAAGGTAGGCATCTTCAGGAAGATGAAAGCTGTCAGGCAGGCTTGGGGCACATGCCTGCAATCCCAGCACACTGAAGCAGGAGACTAAGGCAGTGGAAGGGGTTAGAGGCTAGCTGGGACCCTGTCTTAAATAAAAGGCTTCATTCTTTCTTAGTTTTTATAAAACAAAACCTGTTTCTGTCAGTTTAATTTTAATTTGTTAGTAGCAAAACAATGGCAAACATTCTTCCTAAGAATAAAATGAACTCCTCCATCAACTCCTCCATCTCTATCTGAACAAATCGTTTCACAAAGGAACAAACCTGACTGCAGTATAATAAAATGCTATACAGATCATGACAAAGTCACAGAGAAAACGACAAAAGCACACAATCCACTGTCGATACCTATTACCATTAATAGGTATTAATAAGTATTAATAGTATTAATAAGTATTAATAGGTATTATTAAGTGACTACGGGAATATCCTTCTAATACAGACTTTGTAAAGTGTAAATGTCTACATAATAGCTAACTTGAAATTTGTTTTTAAATGTTAGTATTGATTTTCCTAAAAGACAGCAAAATCTCCACCACCAACCACCAACCACTCTCAGTAAAAAGGCCTTAGCAAGAGAGCATAAGTATAGGCATGGCCTTATTACCCTGCCAGGACAGGAGAAGCAAGTCAAGCCAGATCTTTAGCATATGACACCTCTAAAGGATCTTGCCAATTGCCACTTAAGCTGTCCAAATCTGAATCTAATCACACCTGGGTGGAAATTCTAGGCGTGACCCTTTGAGGTTGCAGAACTTTAGGCTAGAGAAAAGCAAAAATTCAGGAGCATCAACTCTAGGAGGGCCACCATGAGTCAAGGCTGAACTGGAATGTTTTAACCCAAATTGCTATAACCACAGTTCCATTAATATTAATAGAGTGAGATCATGGTGGCTCACGTTACTGCTCTCTGTGGTGGTCACCCTCATGTTCCCTGTCACAGAGGAAGAGAGAATAAGACAATCTAGGGGCTAGAAGGGACCTTGGCAATTAACCAAATTACCAAAATCAAACCCTGCCCTCAGTAACTGAGAAAGACCATGTCCAGGCAAGCTAAAAATCACGAACTTACAGAAAACCCTTTTCCCCCATTTTACTGGGAATAAGTGAATGCATAGCAATGTTAGAACTTTGGTAGGGAGCCAATTTTACCCAGTTCTTGGATGGCACTGTGAGGTATTTTATTAAATTATTTACCCAGCTACCTACCTACCCTTCCCTATTATCTTCCACTTTATTTTCTGGATCTTTCAAAGTGAACTATAGATATCTGTATACTTTCTCTTAAAACAGCAAGTATTTGTATCAGTTTTTGTTTTGTTGTATATAATAAATGAGACAGTAGAAACAAACAAACCTTAAAACCAAGAAAACAGTGTAACTACAACAACCAACCTTCACACACAAAGTGACCTTCAGGGCAGGAGAGAGGGCTCAGTGGGTTAAGCACTTGCCTGCAAGCCTAAAGACCCGAGTTTGATTCCAGAATCCAAGCAAAGTGGAAGGACAGAACTGATTCCACAAAGTTGTCTTCTACCTCATTATAACATGTGTGCATATGTGCGCGCGAGTACACACACACACACACACACACACACACAGACACACAGAAATAAATAAATAAAATCTAAGAACTAGCTGGAGGCCTGCAACAGCCCTGACCTATAAGAAGTGCAGGAAAAAAGAGGAAACAAAGATTGAGGGAATGTCCAATCAATGATTGGCCTAACCTGAGACCCACTTTATGGTAGAGAACCCGCTCCTGACGCTATTAATGATGCTCTGCTATGCTTGCAGACAGAAGCCCAACTTGACTGTCCTCTGGGAGGCTCCAGCCAGCAGCGGATTGAGACAGATGCTGGGACTTGGACCCAAGCATGGGGCAAAGCTCCAGGGGTCCTGTGGTATTGGGGCAAAGATGGAAGGACCTGCAGGGGACAGGAACCTCACAAGAGACCAACACAGACAACTAACCCAGGCCCATGGGGGCTTAGAGAGACTCAGACATCAACTAAAGAGCACACATGATCTGAATTTAGGCCCCTGCACATTTGTAGCTGATGGGCTACTTGGTCTTCATATGGGGTGCCTGGCAAGTGGGAGAAGGGGGACTGTTTCTAACATGGACTCTACTGCCTACTTTTGGATCACTTCCCTCTGGTAGGGCTACCTTGCCTGGCCTCAGGGGATGAGGATATTCTCAGGCCTCATGTGATTTGATGTGCTGAAAAGGGTTAACACAGGGGTAGGGGGCTCTCCTTTTCTGGGTGGAAAGGCAGAGGGGAAGGGGAAAGTAGGGGAAGGGGAATCTGGGAAGAGAGGAGGGAGGGGGCACCCTTGTGATATAACATAAATAAACTGAAATTAAAAAAAAAAAATCTGAAAACTAAGTAAGCTGTCCTCTGCTGCTAACACCATGGTGTGAGGCGATCAGACTACAGCAAGGGTTTTTAAGAACTGACTTAGAGTATGTGTACTCACTTCTTCACAGTTTCTCCAGGGGAAAGGGAGGTCACCACCGAGCTTCCTGGCTGAGACACATAGAAGAGCTGCTGCTCATTTTTGGTTGGGGCAATTTTACACTCATGTTCATGACCCCAGATAACGAGGTCGATGAAGTCATCCAAAAATTGCTCTGGGATAAAGTTGGTATTTCCATGTTTACTCCTACAACAAGATTTAAAAGCAGAACATAAGTTCATAGCAGTAAGGGAATATTCCATCTTAAGTCTACACAGATCTTTTTTCTCCCAAGGGATGGTGATTGCATCAAATTCCAATGTACAGCTTTACAAACTTGCTGGACACAATCAAGCCAGAAGCCTGACGGGAAGCAGGAAGAGTCCAGGTCTGCACTGCAAGAGATCGCAGAGTTTATAGACAAAGTACTTTACTTTGGCCAAGCCACAAAAACAAAAGCTCTGTCCACCACAAATCCACAGTGGTCCTGATTATGCACCCCAAAAGGAAGACAGAAAAAAATGAGTTAAATCTAAACTTCATGATAAAATAACAAACTTGTATTGTGCCCAGTGATGATTATAAAAATGAATAAAATGGGGACTAGAGAGATGGCTCAGTAGTTAACAGCACTGTCTGCTCTTCCAAAGAACCTAGGTTTAATTCCCAGCACCCACATGGCAATTCACAATTGTCTGTAACACCAATTCTAAGGGATCTAACACCTTCACACTAATGCACATAAAATAAAAATAAATTATTTTTTAAAAGGAATAGAATGGCCATTTAAATTAAGAGTTTTCAGTAAGAGAGAGAGAGAGAGAGAGAGAGAGAGAGAGAGAGAGTTTCCAGTACACTGAAATGCAATGACTTCATTTGAAAGCTGTGCTTTTAGAATTAGCAAGCGTCTAAGGGAGAAACCCGTAGGAGAGGAAAGAGTGCCCTGCAGGGAAGGGCAAGCGTGAAGGCACTACAATGAGAACAAACTCCATGGATTCACAGAATTGCAAGATGTAGAGCTAGACTGAAGAGCTTAGGAAAGATGGAAAGTGCAGTCAGGAGAGCAACAGGCCTGTGTGTTTATGTCTTTGTGTGAATCAAGTATACGGGATGTGAGGAAAAGCAGGACACACTCAAACATAGCACTAAGCCACTGAGGCCTCATAGAGCACACAGTCTTTTCTCCAAGAAGGGGATAATGGTGCTGGCAGCCAGCTAAGACACTGCAAAACAACCTCTCACTCACTTCAGTCTCTCTCTTAAATGCACAAGAGTAAAGCCAGTCATTGCAAATAAATGGAAATAAGTAAAATGCAAAGGCTAAAAGGACACCCCTAGCTCAGGAATCCTGTTTCCCAGAACGCTTACAGATATAATAACAGTGGATGTATGTAAGAAGGAGAAGTGAAAGAAATTAATTTAACTAAAAGAATCACACACCCAGTTGTGAAAAGAGGGAGCAGAACAGCTTTGAACCTGGCATGCTGGCTAGATGTGAAAGGCCATGGACTGAAATCCACACACACCATGCTAATGGGAAATGTGTTCCTCAGAGATGCAGGTGAGGAGTAACAAAGGTGTTTGTGCATGTTATATAAACAACAGTAACAAACAGGACTATGAACACAGTTTAGTGGCAGGTGACTTGCCTAGCACATGCAACGGCCTGGGTTTGCTTCTCAGACACACATACACACACTTAAGAATCCAGGCTTCTTTTAGAAAATGTCAAATATGCAGAGGAGAAGACAGAAACAGGCTATGTAGATCTGGATTAGATTAGAATCAGCATGAATTTATGACTGTGTGTTTTGTACACATACATGCAGCTGAGACACTTAGGTGTGTTTACATGTGTTACTTATACATTTGCTCTGTTCACTGAGATGTCTGAAAGATCCAGCATCAACAAGCACATACAGAGCTCACATATCTGTTAGTTCTAAGTACTAGCATTAAAAGCAATCAGAACTCCCTGAAGTGGTTGTTTTCAAGGTAAGGGCAGGAAAACACAAGACTGGACTGCAGCATATTGTGAGGTCAAAAATCTAAGGCCATGCTCAACGAATAAAGTAATAAACAGATAACGTGAACACAAATGTTCAATCTCTCTTCTTGTCCCTTCTTTCCCCCTGCCCCAAGTCCTTAATGATGTAAAAACATAAGTAGGTAAATAAATGAGGAAAGGCATGGTCTTTCCTACCTGGAATTCCAGTGAATAAATGGAAAGAATAAAGGCCAGCAAACTGCACAAGTTTTATACCACAGTGTTAACTTCTGGACACAACACCCTGCATGCTCTAGTTAGCCCACAGAAGTACCATGGGAAACAAGGTACTCACATCCTTACAAAGTATCTTCCTCAAATATTAATTTCAGAATGGAAGGTGAGAGAAGCACTGAGAAGGAAGCTCTGGCACACCCCTGATCACACATGGACATCACCCTCCTCTGCAGTGAGATGTCACACAGCAACACCCTCTGCAGGGCTTCTACCCCGCTCTATGCCTTAACTTTTGGGAATTATGGGTTTTCCCTCCACCTTTCCCTGTGTGGTGCAGGTGAGGCAGAAGCAGAAGTAAGTGTCAGCAGTGGTGTAGAGGTTCATGAAATTCACACATACCAAAACATACTTGAGACAGTATCAGCCTTTCAAAGTCTGCCTCCTGAAGACTTGCACTGACCCAGCACTTAGCTTCAAAATCCCTTGGTGACTTCTTCAGAGACTTCCTAGCTGTCGCTGTCCCCTATCAGCATCCTGCAATCACTCCTACCACTTCCCCCCACTTCCTCCACTGTAGGGATCACAGGACACATCATGTTTATTCTGATTGTTCTTCCTCTCACTCTACCATGGACTCTACCAACAGAATAAACTACCTACAACTACTAAAAGACAGCTGATCCTGATCCAGCTATGTTTCTGGAAAGGCATTCACACAATACACACATACAGAGTGAAGAGAGCGAGTGAGCAGGCAAGAGAGAGAAAGGTGGAGAAAGTGCTTACTGCATCAAATTTTATAAAAACAAAAAACTGGAAATAAAATGGTCACTGACAAGAGAAAAATAGAACTAAAAAGATCAGTAAAAACTATTAACACCCCTAAGCACCAGGAAGGACGAAAATCAGTAATATAATATTAAACACTTGCTGTCTATACACACACAGCTATTCCTACTAGCCAGAGTATCTTCTATGGATAATACAGTCAAACAGTAAAGTACATGGAATGAGTACTTTACAACCAAATACTGTTTCCTAAGGAACATGAGGAAGCAGATGGGACGGCAATGTTCCACTCTTTGCTCATCAGTGTCTGTTACAGTTACTCTCATGTCTCGCCCATTCCAGGTAAACATTCTTTCCCGGGAATTAATACTTGTGAACTCCATCAGCCTCAAGTCACACAAAGCAGATCAGCCCTGCCTGAACCTATCCTGATGATGGGGAAGGATTCAGGCTTTCACTAACAGCCTGGGCAAACACCTTGAAAATCTCGGTGCTTCACTTAAAATTTTTCACAAAATATTTTTACCTGTTCTGATGAATCACAAATAAGTTAAACCATGAGTTCTCATCTTCCTTTGGTCTCAGCATTGTTACTTTTTTATTGACAAACATCCGATAGAGCCTTTCATCTGGAATGGACCCTGTGGAGGGACACACACTATTTTAAATTGTTTTCCTACTGTCAACTTAAAAGATGAGTATGTTTTACTGCTAAATTATGCATTTCTCAAAAGTAGGACATTTTCCTGTTCAGATATATATCTGAATTTTGGAACCACATGTGTAAATGGTATCTACCAACAAACATCCTAGTTCATGCACTACACACTCAGTTACACTCAAAGACCACATTCCACTCTGAAAATCAGGATAATATGTAAAGAGAAATAAAGGAGCTTCCTATGCTTACATTCTCACCAGAATATCTAGCAACATCATCTTCCCTCCCTTCACTATGTATGTTAACTAAATGTGCTTTTCAACTATGATATACCAATAACATGCACAGAAATGGTCCCTTAAAAAGAATAAGATTTGTAAAATGTATTTTAAAGTATAATACTATTAAATATACTGAGTTTGAGCTTTTTAGTAATTTAACTATTTTAAGTAATTCTTCCTATATTAAGAGGCTTACCCTTGGTCTAGTAGAAGATACCAAGAAAACACTTAAAATAGTAATAAATTGTCATCATCACATTAGAAAAAAAGGCCAAGACACTACCACAGAGAGTAACGGTACAGCTAGGGATAGTTTGCTATTTCACATGCTGACCACAGATGAAAAGCCAGTGACTGGACACTTGAAGATGCCTGGGTGTACAGAGTGAATGGTGAACACAGGACAGGCGTGCCCGGCACAGGAGGCACAAATAGCTGGCAGGAAAGCCTGCACGCTAAAGCACTCCAAGAGCTGGTAAAACCTGAGGGCACAGGCTGAGGGAAGGGCAGCCCACAGTGGCGGCAACTTCCTAGGAGGTGAGTATGTAGAGACAGCAAGTTCTGGAGGTGAGGGGAACAGGAACCCCCACTTCTTCCCCAAAACCCACAGGTATGAAATCCGTGGGGGCCACAGGGAAAGTAGGCTCCAAACAGGCATCACTGAAAAGAAAAGGTAAAGGTGGGATTGCAGAGGTCTGAGGGTGCTGAGAGTTTGATGAACACAAAGCATATGCTTTGTGCTTAGGAGGGAGCAACACCAGTTAAGGGGGACAGAAAAGGATGAGATAACTCAGGAGGAAAATGGACCACTGATGAGGGGTGCCCTGGAGAACAGCCAAGACACAGTTCAAATGTAAGAATAAGCCACTTTTTTGGAGATACAATGCCCGATACTGCAGACACTGATATTGCCAATGGCCTCTCGAAAGTCTGTCCCCTTCCTATTCTATCTCAGATTCAGACATAAAAGCACATTATTTCTAGCCTCGAAAATACTTGATAGAAAATATACAGAATTTTAAAAACATGTTCTTTAAGAATTGTGTTTAGTTTTTTATTCATGTAGAATAAAGCCTAGCAGAAAAGCTTTCCTACAGAACACTAAAGAAATAGAAAACAAAAGCCAGGCATATGGGCACACCTTTAATCCTGCTCAGGAGGCAAAAGCAGGTAGATCTTTGAGTTTGAGGCCAACGTTGCCTACATAGTGAATTCTAGGACAGCTGGAGGTACATAGTGAGACCCTATCTTCAAGAAACAAACAAAAACGAAATGGAAACTAGTGAAATCAATACAGTGAAGTGTAGGGAAGCAGGAGGTGTAGAGGGCAGAGGTCAACCTTGAGTGTCATCTTTCAGATGCCACCAACCTTATTTTGAAGACAGAACCTCCCATTGGCCTACAGCTTCCTGATTTGGCCACGCTGGCTGTCCAGTGAACCCAGTGATTCTCCCTTCATCTCCTCCCCAGTGCTGACATTACAAGCACATAGTAGCACACCTAGGATAAATTCCTGAATCTGCTTTAATAATATGATATCAGTTGTAGAACAGGTGCATAATGCATTGATACACCAGATAGATAAATAATTTTCTTCTGGTCACACTGAAACGAGGAAAATAAAAAAAAAATAATAATTTTAACAAATATAATCTGTTAACCATGGGTCTTCCTCGGTCTCTTACATCTAGTGTATCACAACTCACAAATGTCTCACAAACTACAAAGGCTAGTAGTTTTGTCCTGTAGAGGGTAGGATGCTCTGACCTCTCAGACTTCTACAACACCAAGATGTAATTCAGCTAACTAACCTGTATTTCTGTCATCCAGCTTTGTAAATGTGACTCTAAAGAAAAGGTCCAAAACAATAAATAGAAACTGAGCAAAGTTTTTTTTTTTCTACTCAAACTGCCATTAAGTACGAAGAGCTACTAGTCCTCAGAAATACTAAGAACATTTTTTACCAGAACATTTCACCATCTTTTATAGATATCAATAAGAAGTAACCAAATCTGTGTAACTTTTCTCCCATGGGTCCACACTATCTCTAAAAGTGTATTTGCCAACTGTTCACACAATTCTCTACTGACATGAACAAAGGAATCCATCTGACTAAGTGGAACACCTACCTAAGCCGTATAGAGCGAGTTTTGTGTTTCCTTTCTGAAGCAGAACCGGACTAATGTCAATCTTCTCCAGAGATGTTGATCGTCCAAAGTGATTAACAAACCCAGCACAGCTTAAAATATCCAGGGCACAGAGGGCATCTGCCTGTGGGAAAGTTTCAAAGAGCATGAGTGTATCCACAGACTAAGGTCTGGGTGAGCACCACGCCACCTGCATATGGTCTGAGTGAAATCCCACCCCACATCAGAAGCATGCCCTGCAGACTTCAAGTGTGTTTGACAAAGCTTGGGATCAAAGTGTTTTCAGATTTTGGGTTTTCTTGACTTTAGAATGTATAGATCTTACCAGGTGAGAATCCCAAGGTAAAAACCCAAAACCTAAAATGATATAAAACCAACAACTTCTGAGTCTCAACTTTGAGATTTTTGTAGCACTTCTGCCTTAATAATTTTTGGATTAAGAACATTTAACCTGTAATTACAAAAACATATTTTGACAGTGTCTTCTCAAAACAAAATCCCAATGTTAAAGTGGTTGCTCTCTTCTTCAAACAATCTACAGCGGTTGAAAGCACAGACGCAAAGATGCAAAGCTAGTACCTTATCACTAACATGATGCTCTGGCAAAATCAACTGTAAACTAAGTACCTTGTAATATGAAGTAGAACTCTTATAAAATGTTTATTTGGGGAGGGAGTGAGGGGTACATGACCATAAATTAAAACTACTGATTTACAGTGACAATAGAAGACACAAAGGTATTTTGTATTAGGACTACCAGTCTTCCTTCCCTATCAAGCAAGGAAAAAATATAATTGAATCTAGATTTAAAAAAAAAAAATGAGTTTTTATGGTGAGAATCCAGGAGCTCAAATAAGTTGAGGAACTCTATGTGGGCTATCACACCTACTCCTAGCAACTCACTGATATCAAAATTCCAATGAAACAAAAGCACAGCTCTAACAGGCCCTGCCTGTATCCGGGGCTGTAATTCCAGGTTCTTACAGGCTGAGCAGGATCACAAGCTCAAGATCAGCCTGGGCAACTTAATGAGCACTTGTCTCAAAATAAAGAGTGGAAAGAATGCTGAGGATGGTAGTGTGGCTGCCTGTCATGTATCAGGCCCTGGTTTCCACACTCAGTATTGCAGATTAAAAAAAAAAAAAGCATGGCTCTCTCAAACAACAACTCTAATTCCATATTCAAAAACAAACCATCTAACAAAGAAATATAAAATCACAAATGATAATTAATTTGAATTCATGGCTCAATTTGACTGCCAATTACTAGAAAAAAGGGTGAATGACTTGCACTGATAAATTCAATGTCGTTTTTAAGATTCCAACAGAATTTGTAATTACCCCTGTGGGATCATCATGGTTGCCGTGGATACTAAACACTGGAATGGAAATGTTGAGGTTGCCATCCTGGTAGTTCACCCATGGAAACCTTAAAAGAAAGCAGAGTGAAAGTTTCTATGAGGAATAAAAGCTGTTTCCCCAAAACTTTTTTCCAAGAGATAATGCAGTAGGCAACTACAAACCGTATCTGCAGACAACCTCAGCTCAGTGCTGGAAATAAAATGAGTTAAATTAAAACGTTTGAAAGTATCTTAAAGCATATGAATTACACAAAACCTCTCACAACTCATAACTGGCAAGTTCACAGGCCTCTAAGGTTTCTAAGCCTTCTTAGAGTTCAGGGGAGGGAGAGAACAATCTAGGCATATTGGATCCCAACACCGAGATTCACGCCCGTCACCAGCTTCTTTGCCTCCCCAGACACAGTTTAGTCCTTGCCCATTCCTTCCCCCGGCCACCAGGTTCCTCTTCTCTGTGGCAGCAGGGTGCACAATCTGGTATGTTTTTCTGAAATTCATCTATACACGTATTAAAAAAAAAAAAAAAAAAGCACAATATGGCTTTCTGGCCCTGCTTAACCTACTTTGAAATCTTTCCACAGAAACCCTGTATACAAAGAGCTCTCCTGAGCTTCTTGCCAGCTGCATGACTCCAGTGTATGTAATATTTAAGCAGGACCCTACCATTCAGACTATTTCTGGTCTTGTTTTGCAAGCAATGCCATAGTGAATATGTACCAAACGTCATTTCTCCCAACCTCAGCAGCATGACTATTATCAACCCTTTAAATCTACAGCAGTGGTTCTGAACTCTGGCTATAAGCTCTAATTAACTGCTTTTAAGAAATACCAATGCCTGTGCCACAGTCCAAGAGACTCACCAGTTGGCATGGAGACTGGTGGAAACACCTGAAAGTCCTTGGTAACTCTAATATCCACTGAGAACTGAGAAGTGTCTAGCTATCCCAGTGTCCATGAGAAAAACAGTTCAGTCTCCATTCATTTGTTATAACTGAGACAGCTCCTCTCAATAGGCATTAGTGCTATTTTCATTTCTGTGCACTATGTACCTTCTTCATCTATACTTTATAAACTAATGGATTTTTTAGAAATCAACTTGAAGAAAATATTCATTGAAAATTCAGCCTTAATTTGTGCTGAGCTGTAAGTATTCTTCCTTAATGAACTATGACTTTTGAGTTTGCTCCAGGATTCTTTTGCCATAAATATATTTATTTTTTAAAAGACAAATGTATCAAATTTTATCTAGCTCCTGTGTTTTGGACATTTCATCTCAAATAAATTTCAACCACAAATAGTTCGTATGAATTGTGGACAGTGGGAAGTTAACAGACCTCTAAGATTTAAACATTTGTAAAAGGTCACTCTTACAAAGCCTTTACATACACTTTCTTTAATATTTAATAATTTCTTGCAGAACTCCCATTGATTAGCAGGGATTTCCCCCGAGGTGTGAGCTACCACGCCGTCAAAGACTGGCTGCTGGGATGTGAGGCTTTTTGGAGTTCCCAGTGTCTTCCACCTCTGCCAACTACGAACCACATTTCATTTATAATCTGATCACGCTAATTGATTTTTTCCCAAACCAGTCCTCTTTCAGAATTTCCCTTCTGTATTTGTCCATTTTTCCCATATGACCTAAGGAAACCAGAAGAGGAAATTAACCAAAAAGCAAAGGAGAGAGATGAAGTGAAATTTAGAATTCATACAAAAAAACAAAAAGAAAAAAAAAAGAGAGAGAGTAAAAGACTAAAAGATAACAACATTCAGGAAAAGCAAGGGGAAGCTGTTGTTTGAAAAAGTAATGAACAAGAATTTTCTAAAATTAAGCCAGGTTTAGGGGCACTTGGGAGAAAGAGGAAGCAGGATCTCTGTGGGTTCAAATACAGCCTGGTCCAGAGAGTGAGATCCAGGCCAGCTAAAAATACATAGTAGGACCCTGTCTCAAAAAAAGAGAATTTCCTGAAATTGCTGAAAAACAATTCTTAAATTAAAATGCATGCTGAAGGGCTAGGGACACAGCTCAGCGGTAAAGTGAGCCTGGCATGTGAGGTTTTGGATCAACCCTTAGCACCACCATATGCGCAAATGAGAAGTGGAGTGTCATAAATAGAATTCAACTTACAGCTAAAGGCTGAAAAGAATAAGGAATGCTTCAGTCACCTAGATGATTTCTTCAGGTCAAAGAATATTCTAAACCGTTTTCTCCCTAACTCAATCCTCATAATTTATGTACCTGACACAGTTCTATCCCTTTTAAAAACAATGGAACTGAGAGAGAATGACTAAGTGAATGATTTGGTCATGTGACCATTAAATGACAGAGCCAGGATTTGGGCTGACATCATCCAGAATGCACACTCTTTTGGGAGTTGGTGAGATAGGCTCTCACTACATAGGACAGACAGACCTTGAACCTGATGCCTGCACACACTGGCCTCCTGCACTTGCCTCCAAGATGATGATTTAACAGTCATGCATATCAACACTCAGGGAATCCATGATCCTAACCACCACACTTTACTGGTTTCCAGTAGTTAAAATGACAAATGACAACAGATTCAACAGCAATTAAAAAACAATAGTAAGAGCTCATCACTCAAACCTATTTCAGAGAGAAGGTAGGCAGGCATAGTAGTGCACAAATAGTCATAGCTAGCAGGGACACTGAGGCAAGAAAGTCGTAAGTTGGAGGCCAACAGGAATAATATGAAAAGATGATGTAAAAAATAAAAGGGGCTAAGGAAGATCTCGAGATCACTGACAGAGGCACTTTAACAAACATCCATTAATACTTCATTAATACTTTGAAATTCCTCTCTCCAGAAGTGGGCTTTTTTTTTTTTTTTTTTTTTTTTTTTTTAGACAGGTTTTTGTGTGTAACAGCCTGGCTGTCCTGGAACCTGACTTATAGACCAAGCTGGCCTCCAACTCACAGAGATTCACCACCTCTGCCTTCCAAGTGCTGGGATTAAAGACATGGGCCACCACAACCCATTAGAGATGGACTTTTAATCCTCTCCCATAGAGTGTGGGCTGGACTTAAGGACTCACTTCTAACAAAGAACAATGGAAAGGAAAACAGAATTGCACTGGAGAAAACTGAAGACATCTTAGCCTAATAAGCAAGGTCAACATCACCAGTGAAAAGCCCTAGAGAAGAGCCTATCAGAAGAGCCCTTCACTTTGGTGATATTCTTCCCTCTAAGCCCACAATCCCTGTCTAGAAAAAAACAAGAGAAAAAAGCAAATGAGAGGTGTTCTACAAACACTGACCAGTGCCAGGGTCATCAAGGACAAGGAAAGAAGAGAACCTGACAACACATAAAACTGATTTACATTTTAAAAAAGAAAACAGTGGCTTGGGCTGGGGATACAGCTCAGTGGTAGAGTAATTGGTTAATATTCACAAGGCCCAGGGTTCCATCCCCAACATGACAAGATTTATTTACTAAAAAAAAAAAAAAAAAAACAAAAACAAAACAAAACAAAAAAAACCTTACATAGCATAATATATATATATAATACATATAATATAATACATAATAACATGAGAAACAATCCTAAAGTAAATGAATACTTGACTACAGTAAAACTGTATCTGGTAACAACAAGACATAAGCACAGCTAAAAGCGACTGACTAGGGAAAATACACCTGCCTAAACAATGGCTTAGTAGCTAAAACATATAAATAACCTGCACAAGTGAAGTCAAAAAAAGATTAAACAAACAAACAAACAAAAACCAAACAAACAGAAACTAGCTGCTTTAAGTACCTACACTGGCTTTCCCAAAATGATGGACTGTAACCTGGAATTATAACCAAATAACCCGTTTCTTTTAAAGTTGCTTTGTCAGGGTATTTTGTCAGCAACAACACAAATGAATATATCATACAGAAATCAAACCCAAGAAAACCGTCCCTCAAACGAAAGTGTACTTACTTACTAAAACCAAAGTTGACTGACTGGTCACTGATGATCTCAAACTGCACAGGGCGATCACCCATACAGTACTTTCTAAGCAACTCCAAGCAGCTGTGCAGGGTTTTTCTCGAGGGTTTGTTCTCATGGAAAAGATCACCACCTAACAAAATAAAATCCACCTAGTCAACAAAAAACAGTGTTAAAATTAGTAAGTTCAAGGCAAAAATTGTTTAAATTATAGATAAGATAGAAAAAGATTTCACAGCCACATATACTCACTTAAGCCTTAAGTGGGTCATATTTTAAAAAGAGAAGAAGAGGTAACCCAGTGTCATGGCTTGATCTGCCGTTCATGACACCCATTGTAGACCCTAGATTCACTCACAGCACTAAGGAATGGACATAGGAGCAAAGATTATTAGTTTTTAATTATTCAGTAGACACTTAAACATAGGTCTCTGCACTAGTCAAGGGAACTTTAGTAAATCCAGGTGTGGTGAGAGACTTTCTCAAAAAAATAGGACAAAAAGAAATTGAAGAAGACATCCAACATCAACCTCTGGCCTCTACACAGGAACACATGCACTCACATATCAATATGCAACGTTCATATGCAGATCTCTGAGTTCAAGGCCAGAACTTACTCTGGTCTACACAGTAAGTTCCAGGACAGCCATGGCTATATAAAGAAACCCTGTCGGGGAGTGTGGGGTGGGGGCAGAGGGAGAGACACAAGGAATGAAATAATAGTTGGATGGCAAGGGTCCATATACAAGAGAACTTAAAAGTCAAGAATTTAGATTCCAAAAATAAATAGTAAATTAAAAAATTCTGAAAGACAAATATAATATGCACTTGGAAGATCCAACATGGGGTGTGCAGAAAAGGCAATCAGGAAACAAGGGGTAGAAATGGACTAAAGCAGTAACAACCCTGCTTGGGGGTTGGGGGGTGTTTTCAAAGCCAGTTACAAAAGAGCATGCTTAGAGTTCTGTGGAAGGAAAGCAGGCCTCCTTGGCTTTAAGGTTCTCTCCCCTAAGGAAAAAGAATCTAGCTTGATAAAACATAAAACCAGCATACCTAACCAACTTCTAAGTTTCCCTACAGCTTCCTATATCCTTCTCAAGGAGCATGTTAAGAGGTACAATCCACTGGGAAAGACCAAAAACCAAATATCTCTTCCCCTTAAGCTACATTTAGATTTAAATAATTAATTTCTTAATGCTGGCAGGATAACAGCCCTAGAACCAAATCGAGAGCATGTTAAGCCCTAGAGGGCTAGAGGAAGGATATGTAAAGTCAGCCATAACATTCATCTTGCTTCTGTGGAATCTGCAGCTATGTGTGAAAATTGCTTTACATCCTCCACTGTTTCTCACTCCTACCACACAGAGATAGAGAACACTGCTTTGTCCCTTTTCCCACAGCAATAAGTGGTTTACAAAAGCCGGAGCAAGCAATTAATTATTTCATAGCAGGCACACCACTTTCTTTCTTTCTTTCCTTTTATTTATTTATTTTTTTGTTTTGTTTTGTTTTGTTTTTGAGACAGGGTTTTTCTGTGTAGACCTGGCTGTCCTGGAACTCCCTCTGTAGGCTTTGAACTCACAGAGATCCAGCTGCTTCTGACTCCCTGCTGGCATTAAAGGTGTGAGCCATCAACTGAGAGGCATCCTTTCTTTCATTCTTATCTAACAGCAGCAATGTCACTCTGGGGAGGATGCAGGCAGCTAGGGACCATGGGAATTTTAGTTCAAAGATTTAAAGCCTGCAAAGGCTGTTAATCTAGATGCAAACATCAATAGTTATTAAGTGGTGTCTATTAAGTTTGCTTAGGCATCAAGAAGATATTACTAAGCAACAGAAAGACTTCACTGTCATAGAATTTCTTCCATAGGAAAATACAGATAATTGATAAACAACTTAATACATGAGGCAGTGAAAGGAATAGCAGCATAATATCACAGAGTACTTGGAGGTATAAGGGAAAAAAAAATTTCAAAAAGGTAAAATACGGTTGTGCGTGGTAACAGGTGCCTGTAACCCAACATTTAAGAGGACCAGAATTTCAATGTTGTTCTTAGCTACATTATGAGTTTAAAGGCAACATGGGCTATAAGACCACCTCAATAAGCCCCCCATCACACACACCCTAAAAAAATGAAATTTGAAGTAAGAAGTCACCCTGCCCAAAGCCAGGTGGTAAATCAGAAAAGTTGACCTATAAGGTCGCCGATAAGAACCCACTGTGGGGATCAGGCAGGGCAACAAAAGATCGTGAGCCCTGGGAGGAATCAGGTAGCACTGTAAGAATCCAGAGTACAGGCAGGACCAAGGTCACAGTATAGTCTTCTGTGTGAATTTCAATCCAGATCCAAAGGAAAGGCTGCTGAGCAGAATTACAGCACAATGACAGGATCCAACTTACGATGTCAAGTTTGCTTTGGCTGTGACGCTGAAAACACACAGAAGGCAAAGTGTGAAGCAGAAAGCCTACCTGGAGCTACAACACTGCAGGACAAGCGAGACGGAAGCTATAAGGTGCTGCTATGGGCCTGACCAAGACAGGGCAGAGGTTACTAGAAATGCAGAAGGCACAGGAAGTCTCACACACAGGCTGAAGGGAAACTGCTGGGTAGACAGGGTACCTATGTTTATTCTCCTGCTCCATTCTGGGCTCGGCAGACACTCATCCACCTGCTGGGAGACTGCCATCTCCAACTCTATCCTGGTGTTATGTCATAGCTTAACACCTTCCCACATGACAGATTCTTTTTCAGTTAGTTGTTTGTTTGTTTGTTTTTTAAACCACCATCATGCACCCAAGTTCAACACACTTGACTCAATTTAAAATTCTGAAAATTAGAGTTTGCACACCTTCTCCTTGTAACTTTTCTCAAATTTACTTTCTTTTCTACCCCTAACACCACCAGTTTTTATTAATTTATTTTTTATATTAATTACAATTTATTCACTTTGTATCCCAGCTGTAGCTTTCTCCCTCATTCCTTCAAATCCCACCCTCCCACATCTCCTCCCATGCCCCTCTCCAAGTCCACTGATAGGGGGAGGTTCTCCTCTCCTTTCATCTGATCCTAGCCTATCAGGTCTCATCAGGAGTAGCTGCAATGTCTTCCTCTATGGCCTGGTAAGGCTGCTCTCCCCTCAGGGTGAGGTGATCAAAGAGCCAGCCACTGAGTTGTTGTCAGAGACAGTCCCTATTCCCATTACTAGGGAACCCACTTGGAGACTGAGCTGCCATGGGCTACATATGTGCAGGGGTTCTAGGTTATCTCCATGCATGGTCCTCAGTTGGAGTATCAGTCTCAGAAAAGACCCCGGGCAGAATTTTTGATGTATTAATGAAAGGTAAATAGTAGATAGAACCATCTTTTTGGAGAAGTCAGAAAAGAGAGAACTGTAGGAGAAACTGCTATATTGTCTAATATTCACTTATAAGTGAGTATATACCATGTGTGTCTCTCTGCTTCTGGGATACCTCACTCAGGATGATCTTTTCTAGTTCCTACCATTTGCCTGCAAATTTCACGATTTCCTTGTTTTTAACACCACCAGTTTTAAAACTATTAAAATGTTCTTCAATTCCTGCTGTAATACCAAGTTGCTAGAAGAATGTCTACTGTACTGAGCAGACAATTCCAGTGCATTAACACAGCTCCAATCCTCTCAGTTCTACCAGTTCAGCATTTTTTTTTTTTTTTTAATATAGGGTCTCATTCATGTAGTTCAAGTTAGTCTCAAAGTCATTATGGGAACTGAGGACCTTGAACTTCCAGCCTCCAACTCCTTGGTGGTGGGAGGACAGGTGTGCCATTACACTAAAGTTTTCTGTAGTTCTGGGGATCAAACTCAGGGCCTTGAGTTGGCATGAAAGCAGTCTACCAACTGAGGTGCGTTCCCAGCCCTCTCTCAGCATTTGCATGGCTACAGGTGAGACAAGCCAGTCGCCTAACATCTGCCATGTTGTCTTACACCTGCACCTTCATTTCTGCTTCACAATGAATGTACATTCTCTGTATCACCCAGCATTAAAGGCTGTTGTTTCACCTTCAACACCCGTCAAATGTCACTTCTTCCAGGACTAATCTCATCTAAATACCAGTCTCCTCTACCTCCAAAGTCCCAGGAAATGGTGTGTCTATGGGCCTTACCACAAGTGACCTTGTACTTGAGTATAGCCACATTCTGGTTGGCTGTATGTTCTTTGAAAACTAACAGCCGTCTTTTTATTTCAGGTAGAAATCACAAGTTGGTGCATCATCAAACACCTTGTGTTCCTAAACTTGAAGATTATTTGTCAAAGCAGTTTCTGCTCTAATTGTGAACACAAAGTACTCAAAGTTTAAAGCATGCTTTTAATATACTGGCCTTTAGCCAGGCAATGTGAGTGCATAAGGTTATACAATTAAATCTAAGTTAATGGAATAGGGCCTGTTACCCAAGGAGGTACATTAGAGCACACACACAAATATACCCCAAACTCACTTCATTTTCCAGGGCAAGTCTTAAAATTTCATCAAGTGTCACAAATGTATCATTTCCTCTAACTGCATCTTTCTCCATAAATCCAAGATGAATATCGGTGGCAACCAGGATTTTAAATGTGTCTTCATCGTCTCTGTATAAAAAAGAAAACAAAATTCAAAGCAATTCATTAAGAGGATATTCAAGCAAATTGAGACCTAAACATAAAATAAAAAATAGCAACTGTAAAGCAAAATAATTTTTCTAGCCTCAGACTCGGCATGGAAGTTTACAGTACACAATAGCTCTTTAACCAAACCTTTCCAATCACAAATGCAATGCAGAGCAAATGCGAGTGACATTTGAAGTATTCCATGTCTGCTCTGAAACTTATAGCCTGCTATTACCAGTTTTACACTCTCAAGTCTGTTCCCCAACTCCCCTAATTCTGCTCCACAAACACTTAAAAGCCTTTGTTTGCTGTTATTTATCTAACTGTACACTTTTTCCAGGAAAGTCATTTAAAAGTCTTCCTCCAAGTGTAAGAGTAGACTTTATACTACATCCCCAGCTCTGAAAACATCTGCCTGTCTCTGCTCTTTACACAAACTTTCAACAATAAATTTGGCCAAATAACAAAACAGAATTGTTTAAATCTAAACAAAATTTGATAAAGGTAATTTCAGGTAAACCAGCAGCCTAACAGTTATTAACACTCAGTTAAAGTTAGCACTGGGTTTAGTGCTAACCACAGGGAAAGAGGCAGGTGTAGTCACTATCTCTGAAAAATAAAAAGGCCAGACATAGTGAAAGTGACTATTCATCACCCAACTAGAAGCAGATACAAGACTAAAGGGCATTTTTAAAAAGGTCAGGCTATTTTCACTAAACTATAATGAATTCAATTTTGTATATAAGTCCAAACTCAGAAACTTCAACAGTTGTATGCATGAAGTCCTAGCTGTTCCCGACTTCTCGGCTCACAGAGCTATACCCTTCCAGGGTATGTATGTTCACATACTCACTTAGACCTCAAAATTAACCAGAAAGGAGCATTATCATTATACTTATACAAATGAAAAACAACCCAACAAAGTTAACTGCTGACCTTCCTAAACCTACACAGCTGGTTTTGATCAAGAACTTGAAACCAGATTGGAAGACTCTATCCATGTTCAAGAATTTTTTCCCCACCTCAATTCCATTATTCCCATTTTTGTTCAAATTTAAGTAGCACAACTCACTCTAAAAGACTATTTATAGATTCAGTACTTTAAAACAATGCGTTAAGAGCATAAGCTTCCCTGTATGGCCATATCATAAATTACTGCAACGCACTCATCGATTGCGCCGCATTTGCTAATAAGTACACAATATGCACTTTTAAGCATGCCAGACACGTTTTTGGTGATACTTTTTCCACGATACAAGTTCTGTTGCTGTTTTTGTTGAAAAGTGTTGTTTCTCTTAAGGTCATCACAGTTAATAAAGCAGGCTTACGGTGGCTCTATGGGACTCATTTTTATGGTAGAGTTCCGCTGGGACCAGGTTCCTCTCCAAGTACCCTGGGGTTCTCTGTTCAGGTATGTCAGAAAAGTCACCCGATTCCAAATTCTAAAAATAAATATCAAAATACACATTATATAAAGCTTGCACATATTTCACCAATGTGAGTTAAGTTGCAGGATGGACTTCTTCGATAAGCACTGGCAACTTTGAAAAGTCTCGTTTTCATCTTCAACACTTACTATAATTGTTTCATGACCTAAGTAAGACCAGACAAAGTCACATCCTTATGTGAGGCCCTAATTGCACAATCATGACCACTCCTCAATTTTTCGAGATTGGTGTATGGGCAGAAAGGATCAAACGTAACTCTTCACATGCATACATTTAAGCTGCACCACGCAGAGCTTTGGAGCAGAGGCCACCCCATACATTTAACCCTAACAGAGCTTCTATGGGGCAGGCCACATTTAAAGATAGAATAACCAACATCGTGGTCCACGTGGAACACCTCTCGGATCCAGGATGACAGCTCAAGAGTGATCACTCCGAACGCAGCGCTACACTACCGACCACCCTCCCTCCACCCGCCGGACTCCGAGCCGGAACGCAGAGCCCGCAGCCCTCCCAGCCCACCCGGCCCTTCTTCCCCGACGGCCCCATGCACTCGGGGCTTCCGCCCGAGAACCACACTCTACAAGACCGGAATTAGGCTAAGTTACCCCAACCTGGACTCAGAGGTCACCAGCAAGACCACGGGCCATCTCCACCTCAGGAGAACACCAGAACAAGAACACCGCAAGCAGATAACCTGAATTAGGCGCGGGAGAGTGGCATCCGTACGTCTCGCGAGATCTATTGATGACCTCGGCGCCAGAGGCTTCCTCGGTTCTCATTGGCCAGAGGATGGCTCCGCCCTCTCACAGGAGCCAATCCTGGGCAGCAGAGGGGCGAACCCGGAAACGATGTTCTCGGCGAAGTTCTTTCTGTGAAAGGTGAGGCGTGTGTTCGGAGCGGCCGGGCGGGCAACTGTGGGCGAGAGGCCACGGCGTTGGTGGCGTGGTGGCTGCTTTTTCGCTTTGGCATTCGGAAGTCCTCACCTGCTAGACCGAAAGGCCTTTCTTCCCTGCTTCCCGTCACGATCGCCTCAGAATCCCCGGCTCACCGTATCTGCCTTGCCTTGGGTGCTGAGAGAACGAACCTTGAAGAGTGTGCAGTAAAAATAATTTGAAACTTTGAACTAGATCGGACCCCAGAAAGTCCTGACGTAATGCAACTTGTCTTAATCTGTCAGAACCTCAGCACAGTCCTCTGAAATGGCTCACTGAGATGAGAATTGAAAGAGTTCATTTCGCTCTCAAAATGGAGTGTTCTTTAAGTTGAGAAACACTGTACCTCCTTAATGGTATGCACCAAGTTTTATACCCTGAGTCAAGGAAATAATTTGGGTTTGATTTTTAAATTAAATATATCAAGACAATTTTATATGTAGCTTACACCTGGAACGATAAATATGAAGGAGTTTTCAGATGTGGGAAAGGGATTGAGATCTGTGCTGTGATATTTTGGTTTTTGACATCTGTTAAGCGTTTTAGTGATCCTGGCATATGGTAACTTTACAAAAGAGTTTGAGACGAAAGGAAAAATTGAAAACAGCAAGAATATAGCAGTTCTGGTAGCTCCATTTTAAAAGGTGACCATCTACCCAAGACCTAACAAACCGCCTCGTGGAATTTTTACATTTTACAGTGCAGTTATAGGCCCTAAGAAATTATTAATCCCGATTCTAGTGCTCTTTTAAGTAATGAAACTTAAGAGGACAGAGATTGTTAAACGTGTGACATTAAGTAGAACAAAACCATGTGTGTATAACTGACTTAAGTTTCTCTTAGAGGTCATTCAGAGCAAAATTAAATGATAGGTCTTAAATTTAATAATACAAATAGTTCTTAATGCAGGTCACATACAAATGTATGTGGGTCTAAGTTAAAGGTGGCCCTATCCTTAAAAGGTTAACTACAGAACGATATAAAGAAAAGCACCTGAAATAATAAACTTTAGAATCTAATTGGATCAATAGAGAATGGAAATATTAATATTTGAAAATAGCAATGAAAGACTGCTAAGTTTAACAAATGTACTTAAGAGATTGATGGTTTTCAAAGTAACTTCTCATTTTCTTTACGACTTAAATGCTGGGTAACTTTAAGCTGATGTCAGTGTATAAATTAATGTGGCAGTCTAGCAGAATATGTTTGCCCAAGGAAAGCTGATCTTATAGAACTGGGTGAGTTACCGCTCTCCTCTATACTCACTATCTGGACTTCAACAGTCTTAACTAAATTAATAGATTCGAATTAAGATAGTTATAACTATTTACTTAGTAGATAAGGATAGACTATTCTCAATCATAGAAATCTCTGAAGTCTGGTATTTAGTAAATTTAATGGGTACTTGATTACATAGAACGTATCTGGCATGTTTGTAAGGTTGGTATCCATGCTACTGATAATGCCTAGTTACTGCCTTGCTAACAATTGTTGTGTTTGTGTTTTCAGATTGGAAGGAATCAAACAATGCAGACATAATTCGTCTCTTGAAAGATTGTGCCCTAGTTCTTGAAATGCTTTTTATTTAGAATAGTAATAAAAATGGAAGAAAAAAAAGTAAGGGATGATGAAAATCCAGACCAAGAAAGCTCTTCGCAATTTTCTGAACAGTTTAATCAGCTGGAATTGTTGGAAACCCATGGACACCTGATTCCCACCGGTACTCAGAGTCTCTGGATAGGCTATTCTGATGAAGATGAGGAGCAAGAGGAAAAAAGCGAAGAGTGGTATCAATTGCAAGAAAAAAAAATGGAAAAAGATCCAAGCAAATTGCTTCTTTGGGCTGCTGAAAAAAACCGGGTAAAAGAAAAAAAAAAGAAACTATGTAGTTGGAAAATTGGTCTGGAGCCCAAAGACCTGTCCCTGAACCTTTGTTTATCTTTGGGTATATTACACCATATCTGACCCTTTAATTTCTTGTCTTTAAAAATGGCAGCTTAATATTTGTCTCATTTATGTAGGAGTGTCAAGTGAAACAGTGCATGTGAAATTACATAAACTGGCTTTAGATGTTGGGGGTAAATATTTTTAAAACCTAATTAAATTATTAATTTAATTAGAATCATTCTAGAGGTTATTGTCACTAAGCATAGGTAAGATGGAAATTAACTTACATACCAGCACCACCAAGTAGAATTATTTATTCCTCACAAAGTCCTTCAAGGTAAGGCAAATTTGCCCAGAGTCATCCAAAAACAGCACCCAAAATCGATTCTTCCTACTTGGCCGTTTGTACTTAATTTTTCTAAGTTCTCCCATGTCTTTGTTGATAAACTGAAAACTGAGTTTTGCACCTTATGTTAGCTTTCAGTCCCAGAGTACAATGTATTCTGTCGGGTCCAATGGATCATAGCCCAGATTTGATGCCCAGCAACATGACATGTGTCTAGGAGGAAAGGAGTTCTTGAGTTTCTAAGTTGTTTCAGCATCACTTCATTCTACTACTGAAACAAGTTTCACTTATTTTTTAGTTCATGTACCATGTATATTAATATAATCTGTTATAGGAAAGTTAGGCTGACTTCAGAGGTGAAATATAAAATTCAGATTAACCCTTTTGTGCATCTAGGGCTGAGGCATGGGGCAATAGGGGTTTATTAGAGTAGGAGAATGTGATAGTGTATATGATATTCAGAGAATCAGATTCTTGAGTTGTATGTGAGTGTAATGAGCTGTAACTTGTTTGTCATTAAAAATCTTAAAGTCTAAAGCCACTGACTGGGTGGTGTAATTATCTTTGTTCATTGTTTTTGTTCTGAGCTTCACGTCTTAAAGTTCTCTTTGTTTTCCCTTTAGCTTGCTACAGTGCAGAGGCTGCTTTCTGAGAAGGCCACTGAAGTGAACACTAGGGATGAAGATGAGTATACCCCTCTTCACCGAGCAGCCTACAGTGGACATTTAGATATTGTTCGTGAGCTGGTGGCTCAGGGAGCAGATGTGCATGCAGTGACTGTGGATGGATGGACACCACTGCACAGTGCTTGTAAGTGGAACAACACCAGGGTGGCCTCTTTCTTACTACAGCACGATGCAGACATCAATGCCCAAACAAAAGGCCTCTTGACCCCTCTGCACCTTGCTGCTGGCAACAAAGACAGCAGAGAAACCCTGGAGCTCCTCCTCATGAATCGATACATCAAACCAGGGCTGAAGAACAACTCGCAAGAGACTGCTTCCGATATCGCCAGGAGGACAAGCATCTACCACTACCTCTTTGAAATCGTGGAAGGCTGTACAAACTCTTCACCTCCGTCTTAATGACTCTAGTAATTTTCTTACACTTCAAAGTACCAGTGCCTCCCATTGTGAGATGTAAAATATTCCCATATACAGAAAACAGATGTCTCACTACAGAAATTGTGTCCGCATCACAGTTTTCTTCCAAGTGACCTGCCCATCCTTGATGTCAAAATGTATTTGAGAGGTATTTGGATGCATCTGTGGTGATTTTCTGCAGTTGGTGATTTTTATCAGAAGTAATTTTAACTGGACACGGGTAATACAGAAACTAAGGATATTTTTTGGTGCTGATCCAAGAGAAAAGTATTTTTAAATATCCCATACCGTGGGTCTTTGTTTAGTGTTTAGCATACTGACTTGTATTTTTATAAGCTAACTCCAAATTTTCATGTTCAACATACTGGTGCAGTTCAGCTGTCTTCTCGGCATCTCCAGTTGCTTTTATTCTAAACAAAAAACTGGCAAATTAGTGACTTAAATCTGAGTTTCAAAAAACATAGTGGAACATTTAGATGTTTTGTTTTTTAAGATGTAGACCATGCTGAGGAAAGCAGTTAGGGAGATGTTTAATCCTTAAATGTTTCACACTGCCTCCCCCACCACACATAATCCTGTGGACAGTCCTACCTCACCCTGGTCAACCCATGTGATCCTTATTGTTATGGTAAGTCGGTGTCTCCACTTAGACACACACAAAATTGTTCCTTGGTCCAGAAGATTAAAACTGCCCTCCAAAGGGTTCACCTGTCTCTCCCTGCTGAATTGGGCACTACTTCTCTAGATTCATGTGTTCACCACTACCCCCTCGGCCCTCATTTTCTACAAGCCATGACAAAGGAAAAGGGACATGGAATTCTAACAGTGAGGAATGATTGTCATACGGGACCAGAACACCAAGTGGTTCAGGCTTTCTTTAAAAAAAAAAAACAAAAACAAAACACCATAGTATGGATAGTGACACAGAGTGCAAATACAGAGTATAAGTTTTGACAATGCAGAAGGCAACTTGCATATAACTTCACCAGATCTATGGCACATTTGTTCAGACTGCATTAACTCTTACCCTCTTGGTGCCTGCTACATAGATTTTGATGGACTGCTTAGCCCCTCTATATTACCTAGGGGTCTTCTTAGCCTGAGAATTTGAATCCTAGGAAAAGGACACTGAGGACACTCATTCTCAACTTAGAATCACCTAGGAGCTATGCTTCTATTATTTCTGGAAGGGAGTTTCTAGAAAAGTTTTCACTGAAGAGAGGGTTCATATCTAGATGTGGGTGGCACCATCACATGGGCTCACGTCCCAGAGTAAATAAAAAGGAGAAAGCAAGCTAAGAATCAGTGTTTGTCTCTGCTTCCTCACTGGGTGCAATGTGATCAGCTACCTCACACTCACTGCTCCCTCCCCCACCACGATGACTGTCTATTAAGCTATAACTTACATTCTTCCTTAAGGTGATTTTGTTTTGATTTGTTTTGTTTAAGTGTTTGATCACAGCAAGAAAAAAGGAACACACTAAAACAGTTGTTCTTTTCAGTATTTTAAAATATCTACCTAATTTTTTGGGCCAGCCCATATATGGGCTCAGTTACCTTAGATTATACAATAATTGTTTAATCAAATGTATATGGAGCTAAAGAGATGAACAGCACCAACATGGAGACTCACCAGTTCCTGGCTTCCATAGGCATTGCACAGACATGTAGACAAAACACCCACATACATAAAATAATTATCTTTAAACATGCATATATGTGACAGTTTATATCAGAACAATATTGGATTATATCTTGAAAGCTAATCAACTGGATTGCATGGCAGCCTCAGAAATTAGGATAACTTCAAAAGTTCTGGGGCTTGAAGATGCCTCTGTTCCTAAGTATCTCTAATATGAGGGCTTTGGCAGGAAGTAGAAGGTAGCTTTTATTCTGTTTGAGAAAAATTATTTAAATGATGATAGAAATAATTGGTATAAGTGACAGAATGAGTGCACACATTTCAGTAGACGGCTAAGCAAGGCTGCATAGTTATCTGATAGTCAATGAGCCTTTGGCTCTATTCCTATTTGGAAATGGGCTGTGTCCCTGCCTTTTATGTTACCTTTCTGGGTAAGTTTGGGGCTAAAGAAGCCTCTAATTAAAATGTTTAATTTTGGCTTTTTAAGATAGGGTTTCATGTAACCCAAACTGGCTGTCTAGCCAAGGATGATGAACTGGTCCTATCTCTACACTTCCTTATTCCTAATAGGGAGCTAACCTGACTACTCTTAGGGCGAATGATGGGCATAGAGAAGTCCATTCTCCCTGTAGTCCATTCTGCCTTGTTTGCTTTCTTCAATTTTCTTTTAACATTTATGAGATTCCTGTCCACAAAAGGGTGTTACATTTCTAGTTTATTTAGGCTAAGTAGCTCAGTTTATAAGCAAAAAGCAAAGATCTTTTTTTAATCTTGGGAAAACTAGTCCAAAGAAGTTTTTAAGTCTTTCATAACTAAAGGCTTAATCTTTACATGCTTGAGGAATAAGTAACTTTTGCTTTTGTTCAGTGAAAGAATCCATAGGCCCACAATAAAACTAGTTGGTATTACCTTTATAAAGTCTGACACAATTCTCCAGAGAGCCTTCTGGCCCACAATCTGTCACAGTAATGTTATTTGTGGAGTCTTTATTCTAGAGACCTGAGAACATTATTTCTATTTGATTCTATCCCACTGCCATGATAAAGATAGGACCAAAAGAAGCCAAGAGGCTGCCTAAGACCTAGTCTTTTATCAAAATCAAATCTCAGATTGATTCTATTACACAAAGACACAGACATACACACACAAGGATGGATGATTGATAGACTGACGGGTAAACTACAGGTCATCTTGGCCTAGCTGAAGTGCCTCTAGGGACTTTGGAGCTGGTTCTTCTGTAACATGATTCTCCGACACACCCATGATGTCTTTTTCTCTGAGTAGGGCATGGCATAATCCTGTAGGATTCCTAGATACATATGAAAGACAGAGCCAGAACACTTTCTCTAAGTCAACTTGAGCTCTGTTGAATCCAGAAAACAGAAAGGATCCAGTGTAGACAATTAATGGTTTTAATTCCTGCAAACTTTCCTTAAAAATCTCAAATTTTTACTTTTGAGAACCTAAGTAGGGTATATAAGTCAATGCTATTTGCATAGAAACAATATAAGCCACCTAAGTTTTTGGTTTTTTTTGTTTTTTGTTTTTTTTTTCCCAAACAGCCACAATAAACCAACTTGAGTAACAATTTTTTAAGAAAATACTTATGTAAACTAATACATCTAAAATGCTCATTTTGGGGGCTAGAAAGATGGCTCAGAGATTAAGAGCACTGGCTGCTCTTCCAAAGATCCTGAGTTCAATTCCCAGCAACCACATCACCATCTGTAATGAGATCTGGTAACCTCTTCTGGTATGCAGGCATAGGTACAGGCAGAATATTGTATACATAATACATAAATCTTTTTAAAAAATGCTCACTTTAACATGAGATGCATATTAAAAAAAAAAAAACAAAACTGAGGGCTAGAGAGATGGCTTAGTTGATTAGGGGCTTGCCACCAAGCCTGGAAACCTAAGTGTGATTCCTGGGACAAATATGTTGGCAGGAGAAAATTGACTCCCACAAGCTGCCCTCTACCCTTCCACATGCACACAGCAGGTACACGAATGAATTAACTAATTAATTAATGTTATTTTAAATTTGAGGTATTTTGCTTTTCATAGTACATTCTCAAAATGTGGAGTGTTTTAGAGCACATCTGGGTTCACATTAACCACATTTCAAGTTCCCATCAGCCACACTTGAGTGCTGGCTACTTCATGGAACAGACAGGACTAGGTAGCTGACATACTCCCTAGGGCATGCTCTCAACCTGTGGGTCACGTCAGATATTCTACATAATAGATATTTGTATTACAGTTCAGAACAGTAGCAAAATTACAGTTATGAAGTAGCAACAAAATAATGTTTGAGGTCACCACAACATGAACTATTAAAGAGCTGCAGCAACAGAAAGGTTGAGAACCACTGCCCTAGAAGCTTTGCCGGCTGTGTAAATGGAGCATTAAACTGAGTTACACAAACCCGAGTTTAAGTCCTGATTGCCATTTATGTGTGAAACCAGACAAATAAGTACAGGTCTTTACCTATAAAAGTGTGGTATCTCCCCTTTTGAAATGTTGCAAGAAATACATACAATATACTTATTCATCATCTATTAGTTGCTTTCTCCAGTTCTTCAGAAAAATATGCCATTCCCACCCTAGGCATTTGCATCCTTGAAGACTGAACCAGCTCTCCCTCTCTCGTGCTGCAGTCAGTTTTTTGTTTTGTTTTGTTTTTTCTCACACACATTTCCAGTAAAATTAGCAGCATAGAGCGTCTCCCAAACCATTCAAGCAACTGGACTTGAAAAAAAATGCCTATCCAAGTGTGAAAGGCTCCAGCCATATATCAAAGGTTTCTTCAACAGAAAAATTAAAGAATAATAAAAATTAAGCAAAATAAGAAAAACTAAGGAATAAGCAAAGTTTAAAAAAAAAAAAAAAGGAAATGAGTACAAGGTCTGGAGATAATGAGATTCTGAGAGAAAACGCACCTCTGGGGAAATGCCAGGTCTTGAATGGGTTATGGTTCATGCTGTGTGCATCTTCCTGAAGCTCCCAGAATTAGTTACCTCATTTTCTTCTATTCTTCAAGATAAATTCTTGTTAATACTGAGCAAATGAAAAAAAAATCTACAAAAGAATTCATTTCTGGCTCATCATATTTTCCATTCAAAACTCAGGTTCATTTAGTAGTTCTCATTGTGGATCTAATAACATCCTTCAGTGGATCTCACTGCAACAAGATTTGTAGGCTCCAAAATTGGCTTAATAAAAGAAATAGCTCTCACAGTGCAAAAGCAAGCTGCTATATCGTTTGTTTTGCTTTTCTATCTTTGTAAGTACAATGTGCTCAGCATTTCATCCCTCTGAGGTAGATGTACTGTAGCTGAGGCTGGAAACGCTAAGAGAATTATGTTGAATTCTGGAAGGTCATCTCAAAAGAGATGCCATGAACTCCATTTTTACACACAGCCACCCTTGCATGGGAGACTTTTATTAAAAGAAATGGTGAGATAGTTCAGAGGGTAGAGTGTATCCTGTGCGTGCAAAAAGAGCTG